GGGTGCTCCGCCTGCCCGGGGTGCTCGGCCTGCCCCGGGTGCTCCGCCTGCCCAGGGTGCTCCACCTGACCCAGATAGGAGTCCTAAACAGACGCCTGAAGAACTGGCCTTTTATGCTCCGAATTATTTATGTTTGACTCTCTTGGCTATAGTTTTTTGCCCTCCCTTGGGACTCATAAGTGTCTACTTCTGCTATAAGGTAAAACAATGCCCAAGTCATGGCCCTTCCTGTCCGCTGCTTACCCCCTTCATCCACTCCTGTCTTGGGACCTGGGTAAGGGTTCACCCTCAAAAGCAAAGGGCCCCAACCATTCTCCCACGGGATTCTGGACCAGAAACCCATACCTATGCCCCCCGCCCCTCCCCTACAGACTTCAGTTGCCAACTGGAACAGCAACTGGGAAGAAGCTTATACCAACTCAGGCCGAACTGGCTGTGTGGATGTATTCGCCATACTCATTGGTTTGGGCCTCCTTTACGGATATATCCTATTTTACTGAAGGCCAAGAACAGAGTGCCAGGGTTTTACAACCCAACAAACCCACCCACTAAGACACTGACCAGCCACCATGCAAGAAACTCAACAGCTGATTCATCCCCTAGCCAAGAAACTTGCCACCAACCAAGGAACACAACATCCAAGCAACCCAGCACCCTAGGAACAACTAGGCCCCTGCCTGTACCACATCAGCTCACCTGGCCTCCAGAGGAATCTTCATTCACCTTGGGATCCACACATCAGCACCTGACATCCTCTTATTTCCTTAACACTGGGCTGCTCTCTCAGAAAAAAAATTAAACCAATAAAACTGAAAAGAATGTTCTGGGTGTGTGTGTGTGTGTGTGTGTGTGTGTGTGTGTGTGTGTGTGTGTGTGTGTTTCACTGGGGCTGTGTCTCCTAGACTGGGTGAAAATTAGAATGTCCTAATGGTGAATCCCAGAGATGTGGAAATGGGATAAATGTGGGTTTACATTCCTGCTGTGACTCTTAAAACCTGAATATCCTTGGGCCGGGCATGGTGATGCCTGCCTGTAATCCCAGCACTCAGGAGTCTGAGCCAGGAGGATTGTTGTGAGTTCGAGGCCAGTCTGGGCTATATAGTGAGTTCAAGACCAGCCTGGACTACACAGTGAGACCCTGTCTCAAAAACTAAAAAAAAATCTTTGAACAAGAACTCTTCTTGGGTTTGGTTCTTTTGTCTATAAAGCAGGTGTAATGATTGCCAAGGTGGAAGGCTATTTAGAAAATTGAATCAACAGTTATTCTCTAGATGTTTCTCATTTCATCTAAGACACTAGGCTTCTAGTGTTTCAGAGCAAAAGCAAGAATAAGAAAATAAAGTACAGCCGGGCTTGGTGGAACATGCCTATGATCCCAGCACTAGGGAGGCTGAGGCAGGAGGATCACTATGAGTTCAGGGCCAGCCTGGACTACATAGTAAATTCAAGGCCAGCCTGGATTAAATAGCAAGACCCTGTCTCAAAAAATGAAATTTTTTTTTTTTTGGTACTGGGGACAGAACTCGGGTCCTTCCACTTGCGGAAAATTTTTTTAAATTTAAAAAAAAAGGAAAGAAAACAGAAACCCTCTTCTGGCTTTTTTTTTTTTTTTAATGTATTGAGGATTGAACCCAGGGCTTTCATACTGAGCAACATCCCCAGACTTTTTTATTTTGATAGAGTCTCACTAAATCACTAAGTTGCCCAGGCCTCGCTCAAACTTGCCATCTTCCTGCCTCAAAATTCCAGAGTGCTGGGATTACAGGCATGCACCAGCACACCCTGCTCTCTTCCAGCTTTTGGGGAAAGAATGGAAAGACTTCCAGGAACAAAAATAGATTCTGCAGAATAGCTGATGAAAAGGACCCCTCTCCCAATCTGGAAAAGTAACTGGTCCCCATGGAAGAGGGGAAGTAAAGAGATTAGATGTCAGTGTATCTATAAAGAAGTCCCAGTTGCCTGTATCTCAGGAACAGTAGTGTCAAAGACCCTGGCTGTTGCTTGTATTTATTCTTTGAAGATAAGTCCTAGAGAGGCTTCAAGATATCAAAAAAGATAAGCTACCTGGTATGGAGATCTAGGAAGAGAAGGCCTCCGACAGCCAAGTTAGACATCCCAAAACCACATTCAGATTCAGAACCCTAGATTTGGCAGAATGAAGTTTTCACTACCAAGGAAAATGAGGATTTTTGGTAGAAACTGAGTTATGGAAGAGACTATCAACACTTCACCAAACACCATGGCCTTCTCTTCCTGGGAGCGCTACTCAGCTACACTTTGTAGGTTTCCCTGTCTGCCCACAAGGCTGACTTTGGTTCTATGGAAGGTGAGCAGATTTGATGAGTGCCACAAACCAAGCCTGGCCTTTAAACACCTCCAATGGGCACTGCTCCATAACCTTTCTTCCCTGGCCATCAGAGCAAGTGATGTGTAGGATAATTTGGAAGGCCATATGTTGTAGAGATGGCAGACACCACCACCACCACCCCGCCATTAGTTTGGGTTTCTGAATTATTCTAGGAATGGTCTCCCTTTCCCCATCTGCCTTGAGCAGTTGAATGGAAAACAAACTATCCTACTGAGCCAGGACAAGTTTGGTCTCTTTCCATAGCCCCATCCCCCCTAACCAGAGCAGATGCAGAAAAAAAGTCACTTTTTTTTATACATATGAGCTTATAGCTTGAAATTTATACCCAACAGAGACCCTCATCTGCTTGAGAGGTTTATAGGAAATAATAAAAGGAGAAAACAAAGACCCTAGTCCACCTTAACTGTAGCTGTTACAATACTGCATGACTCTTCTATGGTCCCGGACGTGTGCAACAAGTACACGTGATTGTGCAACAATGCTCTGCTTTCTGCGTGTGTCAGAAGAAGGATCTGTTGTGTCAGTGAGTGCAGTGATGGCAAACCTTTCAGAGCTTTCAGTGAGACAGACAGCCCGCTGTGGCACGCGTGCCGTAGGTTCGCCACCACGGTTCTAGACAGTCAGCCATTCCTGTCCCTCTCCATTGTACTACAAGACTTGGAAATCCAGTCTTCTTTCTTGTCAGCTTCAGTTCCTAGACTCCCCACCCCCAACCAATTCTACTCTCACACATTATTCTATATTTACCACATAAATATAAAATAAAACAAAAAAATCTCCTTCTTATCCCTTATCATCAATTGAATTGCTATAATGAAACATATGGATTTAGCACTTTTACCTTCCCGCCTCTCTCCCTGCTACTCCCCAAAGAATGAGGTCATGATTTTTTTAAATCTCAATTTGTAAGGTATACATTCCCTTATGCCTGTCTAAATATGTTCCATGACTGAGGCCAGCAGTTTATAATAATTACATCCCCTGTCTGTGCGAATTTTTGAAGTGTAAAACAACCCATCTACCTGCACTCTTTCAGACTTATTCTTCTTATCTTTTCTTCTGCTTCCTCTCCTCCTCCTCCTCGTCCTTCCTCTTTCTTTACTCTGTTATCTATGTGTCCCTACATCCATTGTTCCCAAGCTCTCTAGAACTGCACAACTGCTCTCAACAGAATTACCCATGTGGTCAAAAAGACCAAGTAATTTTTCAATTCGCCCTTCCCCTTGGATCCTAAAATCTGATTAGTTAGTTATGACTTTTGACTTGTACAACTTTCGCATCATAATGCAAAGGGTGTGGAAGAGAAGAGGTGCTCACTTTGTGGCTTGCATCTGGTTTATCCCCCCCCCCTCAAAAGTACTTGCTGTCAAGAATTCGTTGTGCCTTTTTCCACTGATGTTTCTGTGTATTTCCGTGTGCACAGATGTTCATACACATTGATATTGCTCCTTTTTTCTGCTTATGACTAAGCCTTAAAGATCTTTTCCCATTAATACTACAGATTTTCAACCCCAATGTCCTTTGTTCCACTTGTGAATAATCTCCCTCTATATAGTAATTTTCTGGTCCACAAGATAGATTTCTAGTTTCTCAGACTTCCCTCTTCCTCACCCAGTGATAACTCACAGGGTTCTAGCACCTGGCCTTAAGCCTGTGGGTCCTTCTTCCGGCTGGCAAATGAAATCTGAGTGGGAAGAGAGGGAGACTCTAAACAGAATAAACAGCTGCAAAGAGAAGATTTTGTTGCACGCATACATAAATTTCTCTAGAAAAATTTATTTCTAGCCTCAAAAAACTATGACATTCATTGCTACCAGCTATGGTGATTGTGACTTAACTCCTTAGAAGTCTTCTAGTTTAATGAAGTCTTATATATTTATATGTCACCCTTGGTGAGGAGGAGGAGGAGGTGGAGGCGGAGGAGGAGGAAGAGTGTTTAGGAATCAGAATCTCATTTAAATCAACAGTACAAAGTCTCTGAGCAGCCACTGAAGGGAAAGGAACTGCGGGGGGTGCACGCGCGTGCGTGAGTCTGAGTGCGCGCACGGGTACCGGACAGGGAGGTGAGGGCAGACGAGTTAAGAGTCCCAACTCCTTGGACTCCATTTGCTATTCTTTTCTTTCTCCCCCAACACCTATCTGGTGATAGTGGATGTTTATATTTGCGATTCTTTTCATTCATTTCCAAATTTTCAAAAATTTTAAGGTTGGAGTAATGGGAACAGCAGGAAAGGAGAAAGGAGAGTGGTACCAGAAGAGGAGGAGGAGGAGGAGGACATGGAGACGAAGAAGAGGATTGATTAACCTGGAGTTAAGGAACAGAGCCCTGGAGGAGGTGACAGAATTGGTCCTTGATAATTGCCTGTGTGTCAGCGGGGGAAATTGAGGACCTGAATGACACTTTTAAAGACCTAGAGTTTCTGAGTATGGCTAACATGGCATGAAATTCACGGGCCCAGCTTCCCAGCCTAAATAAACTTCGGAAGTTGGAACTTAGTGGCAATGTAATTTCTGGAGACTTGGAAGTTTTAGCAGAAAAATGCCCCAATCTTACCTATCTCAATCTGAGTGGAAAAAAAAGCCAAGATCTGAGTAGAGTAGAAGCTCTGCAAAATCTTAAAAATTTGAAAAATCTGGATTTAACTCTGAGATCACAAGCCTGGAAGATTCCCGAGAAAGTACTTTTAAACTGCTGCGGCACATCACAAACTTAGATGGATATGAAAGGGAAGATAATGAAGCCCCAGACTCAGAAGACGAGGACGATGAGGATGATGAAGATGATGAAGATGAGGAAGATGAAGCCGGTCTCTCTGAAGGGTATGAAGAGGAAGAGGAGGAAGGCGAGGATGCGGATGAAGAGGAAGATGAAGCAGGCTCAGAACTGGGAGAGGGAGTAGAAGAAGTAGGCTTCTCATACTTAATGAAAGAAGAAATTCAGGATGAAGAAGATGATGGCTACGCGGAAGAAGGAAAAGAGGAGGAGGAGGAGGAGGAAGAAGAAGAAGGTCTTTGCGGGGAGAAGATGAAATGAAATGGTCATGATGATGGAGAGGAAGATGATGACTAGATCATTCTAAGGCCCCATTCCCTAGGGTTCCTGGGTGTGAATAGAGGGGCCACCTCTTTGTTTCTTCCTGTGTGATAGCTGTTCCCTGCAGAAGATAATGTGTAACTTTTTATAGGAAAAGTGTGGTTTTACTATTTTTGCCTTATCATTAAGTTACGATTTACTAGTCTGTTAATGATCAGATTGTATACAGAGAAACATTTTCACCGCTCCCCCATTGTGAAATTCTCTAGAAATTTATTTAGAATCTTAATTTTTCTAATTCAAGCACACTGTATTAGTCATTTTTAGTCCATCATGAAACACCACTTTTACACAGGTGTAGTTTGATGCATTTCATTCACAAGGTTTTTAAGTTATTTATAAATTAACTGAAATTACAGTCAGCTGTAATATGAAGTGGCAATAGCCTCTTGAATTCACTATTTTTTTAGAAGTGATGCAGAGATCTTTAGTGTGAAGGCAGTGACTTACCGGCTAAGGGTATTTGGATGCTTGTTACATGAGTTAAGCTGGAAAGCAGATGCAGGATAATACAGGTTCTACTCAACAATGTTATTTCATGGATTTTGTGATGACTGATAAGATTTTATTTTTGAAGGAAAAATTGCTTATTCTAAGTCTGAGGCATGCAGTGAGCCCTTTCCTGAGATGCCAGTGGTTGTTTGTTTTGTTTTAGGTTCGTATTCTTTCTCCTCTCAGGACTTCTGTGTTCTCCTTCTCTTCTTGTTTCACTCATCTCTCTCCCGGGAGAAGGTTGGGCTCCTTGTGGATTCCCAGAAAACCTTTAGTCTCATACCTCCGTCACCTTTTCAGACCTGTCAGGTTTTAAATAAGTGAGGAAAAAATTGAGTACTTTTTGAGATCTGAATATTGTTGATACAGTTTTATTCAACTGGTTCTACTTACTATAAATGTTTCTTGGTTGACAACATGGGAGACCATTATTAGGATGAAGGATGAAGAAAGAAGAGAAACAAGGAAGGCTTTTGGAAGTAGTATTAGTGTTTCCCAAAAATCTGAACCATTTCCTGTTGATAATTAAATTTAAATTGACTTCCCAAAGAATTTGGATACCAACCCAGTGAAGAATTTAGAGTTTTTCTCAGTGGAACTTTAATTTGAATTAGTAGCCATAATACTGGGTACCCTAATCTTGTTCCCATCTCCATATGGAGTAATTCCAGTGTTGTACTACTAAGTCACAAAATTGGTACAAACGTCTGATAAAAATTCCATCCAGGCCTGGGGATTTAGCTCAGTGGTTTTGCCGCCTGCTACACAAGCGCAAGGACCCAAGTTTGATCCCTGGCACCAAAAAAAAAAAAAATTCCATCCATTTTACTATGTTCTGTTCTTGGCTTGCCAACATTTTAAAATTAGAAATTCATGTTATATCAAATACTGTACTTTTCAGCACCTATTAAGATGATCGTGTGGAATTTTAATTCAGCTCACTAACAAAATCATTCCCAAGAAACCATACTTGTACTCCTGGGAAAAACTTACTGGTCATAATCTATTATTCTTTTAATGCATGATATTGTTTGCTTATATCTTATTTTGCACTCATATTTATATATGAATCTGCCCTATAGTTTCTACTTTGGGGCTCTTCTCATCCAGTTTACACAGTGCCAGTGTAACATAAAATAGTTGTAACATAAAATGAGTTGAAGGAAGTGTTCCATGTATTTCTGTATTCTGGAACCATTTCTTTGATGTAAGAATTATCAACTTTTTCAAAGTTGGTGTGACCATACCTGCAAAATCTCTTGGGCCTGTCACTTTTTTAAGGTAGTAGATTCTGACTCCAACTCCTCCTCCTCCTCCTTCTTCTTCATGATGGTAGTACCAGGAACTTCTAGAGTCAAGTGCAAGCCACCGCTCCAAGCACTTTCTGAGTATTAATTTTTTTTGTTTCCGTTCCCTGTGGCCTGCATTTTTATAGACTGAGGAATGGAGCACAGGAAGATGGAAAGGTATGACGCAGGTGACACAGTAAATCACAGAGGAGCCAGGAGCCAGGCAGTCTGCCTCTCAGGCCATGTTCTTTTATGTTCTTTTTTTTTTTTTTTTTTGCTACCAGGATCGAGCTTGGGTCTTTGTGCTTGAGCTAAATCCCTGGCCCTCAGGCCATGTTCTTAACCACTGGATGGGCAACACTGCCTCCCATTGACAGTTAGTAGCAATTCACTCTCTGAAAATCTGTTCTGGGATCACTTTTTTTTGTTTTTTTAAAGACATCTTTTCTTTAACAAATTATCTACCACAGGGAGCTAACTCCAAAGTACTTCCATGCCAGATGCGGTGACACACACCTGTAATCCCAACACTAAGGAGGCTGAGGCAGGAGGATTGCCATGAGTTCAAGGCCAGCCTAGGCTACATAGTGAGTCCAAGGCCAGCCTTGAACTACATAGGGAGATCCTGTCTCAAAAAAAAAAAACAAAAACCAAAAAACCAACTCAGGCTAAAACTCACAGATAACTATTAATTCAAAATGGATCATAGATCTAAAGGTGAAATATAAAACTATTAAACTTAGATGAAAACATAGGAGGAAATCTGATCCTGAGTTAACCGAAGAGTTCTTAGACATTCATAAAGTACATCCATAAAAGAAAAAAAATTAGATGTCATCAATATTAAAAACTTTTGCTCTGCAAATTACATTGTTTCAAAAAGGAGGGAAAGAGAAGGGGAAGTACAAAGAATTAAGATATGTTATATACAAGTATCAACTCTTCACAATGAATGTAACCTATGTACTCCAAATATGTGCTAATAAAAAATTTTTTTTAATTTTTGAAAAGAAGCTGGATGTGGGGGTGCATACCTGTAATCTTATTACTTGGGAAGCTGAGGCAGGAGGATCACTGTGATTTCTAGGCTAGACTGGGCTACCCAGTGAGTTCAAGTCCAGCTTGAACTACATGGCAAGAACCTGTCTGCAAAAGCAAAACAAAACAAAAAAGTGGGACACAGCAGGGCATGCCTATAATCCCAGCACTCTGGGAGGCTAAGGCAAGAGGATGTTAAATTCAACCCCAGCCTGGGCAACTTAGCGATTCAGCTAATTTAAAAAGGGGATAGAGGAGTGATGGTGAACCTTTTAGAGCTTCCAGTGGTACAAACAGCCTGCTGTGGCATGTGTGCCACAGGTTTGCCACCACTGGGCTAGAGATATAGCTCAGTGCAAAGGCCCTGGGTTCAACTCCCAGTACCAGGTGAAAGAGGGTGGGCCATAGACTGCAGACCAGGAGAAAATATTTGCAAATCACATATCTTGCATAGGACTTTCATTCTGAATAAATAAAGGACCTTCAAAACTCAAGAACAGTAAAACAACTCAAATTTTTTAAATGGGCAAAAGATTTGAACAGATACTTCACCACCAAAGAAGATACATGTGTCAAATAAGCACAAGAAAAGATGTTAATCCTTTCAAAGATCACCCTCCACTGCCAAAGAACCTGACTCCAACTGTTAAATCACATCACCCAAGGGTGCCTGGTGCAACCCAAGTCTCCCAGGCCCACGTCATTCTTACCTCAAGTAGTCCTTCCCCCCACCAAACTGACTAATCACCTGAGAGAGTGGGCCCAACATACCAATCAGCAGCCAGGTTTAGTTCCCACCCCATTAGACACAATTTCCAATCAACCAATAGAAGTAGATAGTCTGGGAGGCAGGGCCTGCCTGGTCTCCATGGTAACCCTTGAGCCTGGCCCTAGCCCTGAAAGAACAAGATCCAGGTGCTGTACCTGGGGGGTGGTAATGGGTGCACACACCAGGAAGTAGGCGAGAGAGAGGGAGTAGTGGCGATGACAGGGACAGGTAGAGTGTCATAAGAAGGAAGAGAGGGTAGATAATGGATAAAGAAAGATTTAGAGGGGCATAGGTTTAGGAGAACAGGGAGCTGTTCTAAGTGGATAGGGAATGAGCTCAAAAGGTCAGGAAGCTGGTTTTGGGTTAAAGAGAAGGTGTTAGAGGGAGAAAGGCCGGGACTTTATAAAGGAATAGAGAAGAAGCTATATGGATAAACAGGGAGAGGAATTGGAGTTTATGTAGAAGGTACCAAGTAAGGGGTTGGTGGGGGTAGTTTATGGGTTAGGGGAGGACCATGACAGATTCATAGGGAAAAGTGGGGGGTATTATAAAGGGTGAGTGAGAGAGCTGTTGTAGACATTGGAGGTTTTATAGGGTGAGAGTTCTAGGAGGGAACGATGAATTTATAATGAAGGCTTTACAGATGAAAATGATAATATTCATGTGAGGATCTTATTCATAGGGTCTTTTATAGGGGCAAAGAGAAGCCTGCTTTGAGGATAATGACAGTGTTCTAAGGTATCAGTTGAGGTTTAGGGAGTAACCGTCATCAGAGTCAGAATTTGAAGGGGAGCGTAGAAGGGGTCAAGTGAGACCTTCTGGAGATCTTCAAAGCAATTGAGGACAGAGGAAATTTTAGGATGCAGAGAAAAGGTTATGGGAAAAGGGGGCATTGTAGGGCACAAAGGGTGAGGAGTTCTAATGGACAGAGAGGTATTAAAAGGGATAGAAGGACTTAGGTGGAGGCAATGAGAAGTTGGAAGGCAGTCAATGAAGATTTTATAGGAGCCAAGGAGAAATGTGTTAGGGTAAAAAGGGAGTGAGTGGGAAGGAATGAAAGAGTCCCAAAGCCATTCTCAGACCTAACCCACTCTCTACCGCAGGTGTCTAAACGTATGCCTGATGATTCCAGCAGACCTGTCGAGAGCTACTTCATCCTGTCCGTCTTGGCCATGATCTTTTGCTTTCCCTCAGCCTTCCAGCCTTAATCTTATCTTACCAGGTGGGAATCTGCATCCCACCTGCCAGTCCTCCCCCTCCCCCCACCCCCATCCTTCCCCTGACCTTGACCCTAACTCAGCTTCTTCCTAATTTTCCCTCCTGTGCTAGGAGCCTGCTGGGGGCGGGGGTGGGGGGCTCTTATAGGTTCAAACCCGCACACTGTTTGTTCTCACAACTCTCCCTATGCAATAGCGCCCCCCTTTTTTTGGTACCTGGAATCAAACTCAGGTCCTTGAGCTTGCGAGGCAGGTGGGGTGCCACTGAGCTAAATCCCCGGCCCTCCAATAGCCCTTTTAAGCCCATCTTTTCTCATTTCCTTTCTCCCTTGAAACTCAGGCAATGCTCTACAATCAATCAAATGACCATGAACAGGCAGCTACAACCACCAAAATAGCTTTCTGCTTGGGCTTCACTGGCCTTATTTTGGGCCGCTTCAGCTACCCCATATTGCTTCTTGTACTATTATTATTATTAAGGTAACCTTCCAAGCTCATGAACAAACTACTGAATATAAACAACGGTACAATCTAACCCTGGCTGTGAGCATCTATTTGGGCTTAGTGGGACACCTGTTCTTCAGGGTCTGGAATACAGGCTATTTAAAATCGAGAGGAAAAAAGAAAAAAGAAAAACTGAAATATTCTTCCTACTCTTGCACACCACTCAGTCCCACACTTCTTTTTTTTTTTTTTTTGATGTACAGAAGGTATACACACACACACACACACACACACACACACACACCACTTTTGACACCAGATTCTCCAGCAAACAACAACTAGATGTCCTAAAATGTAATTCAGTTCTGCCAGTATCTGCTTGGAATACACAGTCAGCCTGGATCCTGGCATTGTAAGTGGATAAAAATGAGGCTAAGGCTTGGCAAAGAGCCCTATCCTCGAGGGGTGTGCAAACAATCAGGATGCTAGGAAGGACCCTGGCATGGGAGCTGGGTGGGCAGAAGCTCCCTTTGGTGTGGCTTTTATACCCTGTTGTGCACAATTGCTGGTCAGTGAGGCCATTATTTCCAAAGAGAAAGACATGGTGATGGGTGTAGGGAACAGGGAAAGGGGATGTTACTAGAACCTCTGCAGTAAGTCCTAGTCTCCTGTGAGCCATGACAGCACAAGGTGAATTACCTTATTATACAGAAAAGGTAGAAAAATGAGACTTTGAGAAGAAGCTGAGCTTTGGGCCTGATCAGTGCTGCCCTGGGCCGCAAAGACGAAAGCCCCCAGCTTGCGTCACCTTTTATTCGGTACATGGGGAGAAACAAATATAACAAATGACTCCCAACAGAGAGTTCAGTACATCGGGAGAAACAAATGTAACAGATGACTAGGGAGTGGCAGGATTCCTAGATCGATGAGAAACTACGCAGATGAAGATTTTGTTCCTCCCAGGATGTCTTCAACTGGTGTAATCTTATCCTGGAGCATCACAGCATCACTGGACCATTAAGATCTGTTGTGGGGCCGGGGATTTAGCTCAGTGGTTCCGCCGCCTGCCTTACAAGCGCAAGGTCCTGAATTTGATCCCCGGTACCAAAAAAAAAGATCTCAGTTGTGACCAGAGGCCAAAATGGAATTATGTCTTGAAATGCCATAGCTGGCCTGTGGGCAGGAGAGCTAGGCCTAATCAAATGATTTTTCCCCAAAATTATGTAGCATTGCTCCCGACAGATGAGGGGCCAATAGAGATATGGGTGACATGGGTGACATGGGTGTGACATGGGTGATGTGAGTGTGAGGCTGGGAGTATTGAAGCAAGGCATGGTGGGTGTCTTCCCTACTTTTCTCTCATTGCTGAGATAAAATACCCGACACCCAAAGTTAAAGGGGGAAAGGCTCATTTAGCTCACGGTTTGTAGGAGTGTAAGTCCATAATCAGCTGGCTCCAAGGCAGGGTGGCATGGCAGACAGGCATTGCAGAGGAGAAACAGTTTATGGTGGGCAGAAGGTAACAAAGCAAGGAAGCAAGAGAAGAGACAAGCCTCTTTCTGTCCCTTATATTGTGTCCCTTATATTGGGGTTAGGGTGGTGCCAAACCAATCAGTGGACTGATTTAGTAATCACCCACTCTTAATCCTAGCATTGCACCATGAATCAGTCATACACTCTAGATTCAGCCCCACCTATAACTGTATGAGGCTTTGGAGGGACATCTAGACATGAGCCATAACAGTGGTGCACCCCAGTGATCCCAGCACTCTGGGAGGTCGAAGAAGGAGGATCACAAATTCAAATCCAGCCTCGGCAACTTAGTGACTTAGGGAGAACCTGTCTCAAAAAAATACAAGGGTTGGGAGTGCAGCTCAGTGTAAAAAGAATAGATATTTGAGGCTGGGGCTCTAGCTTCATGGGATGCTGGAAGAACATATAACTGCCATTTCCCCTGAGTGTGAAGAAGGTGTTATCTTGGGAGGTGAAGGCCTTGCAGGCATAGGGAGAGAACTAGATTCTAAGCCACCCAAGAATGACAAGATTATATAGTGAGCAGGGCTTCAGGTGTAGCTCAGTGGTAGAGCACTCGCGTGGCATGCTTGAGGCCCTGGTTCCATCCCCAGCACCATGAAAGAAACAAAAGAGTCTACCATGACCATACTCTCTGACCATCAAGTATATCAGTATACAGCCACATCACACATGAAATATAATGTAAACAACCAGTACATGAAAAACAGTTTCTCAAGAAACTGATTTTATGCTTCTGTTAAAGCTTACTAATATGCTGGTGATTAATGAAAAAATAATAAAAGTATGCCACTTCAGAAAGTATGTGACTAGTATCATTCAAAAGAAAAACAGAGCTGGGCATGGTGGTGCATGCCTATAATCCCAGCACTCAGGAGGCTGAGGCAGAAGAGTCGCCTCAAGTTTAAGGCCAGCCTGGGCTCCATAGTGATTTCAAGGCCATCCTTAACTACCTAGCAAGACCCTATCTAAAAATAAAATTCAAAAGAAGAATAGAGGCTGAGCATCATAGCACACACCTGTAATCCCAGCATTCTGGAAGCTGAGGCAGGAGAACCGCAGTGAGTTCAAGGCCAGCCTGAACTACATAGCGAAAAATTGTCTCAAAAAAACAAAAAGAATAGATTATATAAAACATAAAGAGCTGGGTTTTTTAAATAAAGTACTTAATTCAGTAATGAGGAAGTACTAGATTATATGGTAAAAGTATGTTTAGTAAGAAATCAAACTGTCATCCAATGTGGCTGAATCATTTGACATTCTTGCCAGTAATGAAAGAGAATTCCTTTTGCTCCAAATACCCACTGGCATTTAGTGTTGTCAGTGTTTTGGATTTTGGCTATTCTAGTAGATGTGTCATGGTATGCCTTTTGTTTTTTGTTTAGTTGTTTTTGTTTTGTTTTGTTTTTGAGACAGGGTCTTGCTACATAGTCCAGGCTGACTTGGAACTCACTATGTAGTCCAGACTGCCCTACAAACTCAAGCTCTTCCTGCCTCAGTCTCCCAAGTGCTCTACTGTTGGTGTTGTTTATGGTACTGGACATTGAACCCAGGGCCTTTGCACTGAACTACATCCCCAGCCTCTTTTACTTTTTTATTTGGAGACAGGGTCTCTCTGTTACTATGTTACCCAAGCTGGACTGGAACTTGTGATCCTCCTGCTTCAACTAGAGTGCACCACGATACCCAGGCTGTTGTTTTAATTAACAATTCTCTGATGATATTGCGCATCTTTTCATTTATTTTCCATTTGTGCATCTTAGTGAGATATTTGATCATGCCTTTTGCACATTTTTAATTGGGTTGCTTGCTTCCTTATTGTTGAGTTTTAAGAGTTCTTTATATATTTTAGATACAAGTTCTGTATAAGGTTTGTGTTTTGCAAATATTTTCTCCTGGTCTGCAATTTATGCTTTCATTCTCTTAACAGCCAATTTTCTTTTAAAGTTCTCAAACATGTTTGAAGTCTCCTGAAAACCTCATAGATCCAGTGGTGTCTCACTGACTTTTTTAAAAGTAGCACAACACTCCACAGAGGGCAGAAGGGTGGATATATTTGGTGGAAATGGCAGCTGTGAGAAACCAGGCATTGAGGAGTCACAACAGCCAATCTTTCCTCCTGAAAGCCCACCAGTTTTCCAGGCAACCAACATCACTCTCTTCAACTTCTCAGTCCTTGAGAAGTGTTTGAAGGTACCCTCAGCTTTTCCCTCAAATCTGCTACTTCAGTGGTGATCACAGTCCTTTGCCCCGGCTCAGAGGACTGAGCCACCCCTTGGATGTTTCCTGGGCTCCTTACACTCACAGGGTCTCACATTGCCTTCAGCTTTTGCTTCCCCTCCCCCTTCAGCTTTCCCCCCAAAGCTGCTTTTTCTCCCATGTCCCCATTTCAACATTTGCCCCATCCAGATCCGAGCCCCAGGCCAGAGCCCCGAACCTCATCTTGGATGCCCAGCATCACCACTACAGTCTAGCCCGACCACCCGCTGGACCCGACCGTCAGCCTCTTCCTCTCAGCCCATCCTGGTCCAATACTGCCCACCCCCCACCCCACCCCCGCATCTTGCTCCAGCCTTTTCCTTGAGTGCCCAGCTTTAGTCTCATACCATCACCTTCGCCTCTATTTGTTTATTCAAAAGCTATTGACAGAGCCAGGCTCTGTGCTGGACACAGCGGTGGTGAAAGGTCCTTAAATGTTGCCGTTTCTCAGGGCCCCATCTGAGCTGAGTTCTCCTCTGTTCTAGGTCTCACACGCACTCCCCTACACATCCAGATTGCTATCTTAGCCTGCCAGGCTCCCCAGGGCTCTCAAGCTCTCTGGGCCATCCCACGGACCTCTTATACTCTTCGTGTCCTGGATTAACCCAGCCCTGCTGCTTATTTCCTACCTAGTCATGCTTCTACCTCCCCCACTGAGCTGTGAGCTCCGTATTACAGAACCTGGGGCTGTCCCGTCACCAGTGTCCCAAGCATCAAGCAGAATACAGTCTGCTCCATTAACGTGTATGAAATGCAAAGCAATAATAAAGACCTGAAAAACTGCATGCCAGGGAGATAATTAGGATCACACTATCTGCCTCTACTCCTTTCTCAGACAAGAGACGCCCTGTTTTTAAAATCAAAGAACAGTAAGTAGCCCGGCGCTTGTAATCCCAACGCTCTGGGAGGCTGAAGCAGGAGATTTGTTAAATTCAAACCCAGCTTGGGCAATTTAGCGACTTAGTGAGACCCAGTTTCAAAAATATATACATAATAACAAAATAGGGCTGGGGCTTAGTGGTATAGTGCTTGCCTGGCATCATGAGGCCCTGAGTTCAATTCCCAGTACCACAACATAAATGACATAAATGAAATAAAATATAAAAATCAGGTATATTTTAAAATAAAACTTAAAATATAAAAAGGGATGGGCATGTACATAATGTGAAGCTCTGGGTTCAACTTCCAGTACTACAAAAAAAAAAAAAAAGGAAAGAAGAAAGGAAGGAGAAACGGAAAGAAAAAGCAGTAAGTTCGGCATCTCTTCCCCTGGTTTTCCTCCTTTTAGGGTGTAAGTCCCATTTGCCCGGAAAACAAAGGGACATTTTGCCTCTTCGGGGACAGCTGGTGGTGAGCTGGACGACGACTGAAGGCGAGCGGGTGCCAACATTTCTCTGAGCCCTTTTCATCTCCATTCCGTCAACGACCCACGCGGGAAGAGTGAGAGCTTCCAAGACCCAGCAAGACCGCTGGAAGACAGAGCAGCGCCGACAATCTGCCTAGCAACCGACTACGCCACCGCCGGCGCGCTGGTGACGTCAGAGGCGGGCGCCACACTTGAGAGCGGGAGGCGGGGGTGGTGGCCGTTCTGTTATGGAGCTAGTGCAGGAAGCGCGGGAATTGGGTCGCTGGGCGGCCGAAGAGATGGGGATGCCCGCTGTAGCCCAGGCCCCGGAGTCGACGCTGCGCAGGTGAGGCCCCTGCAGGGGTACGGCTCCCCATCTGGCGACAGAGGCTCCAGGAGTGAGAGCCCACCCTTCATCGAGGGGGACACCCCCCCCCCCAGTTACTGAGGGCTCCCCACCACGGGGGTAGTATGGTCAGAGAGAGGATTCTGGATCTAAGTGAGGAGCCCCGGTGGTGACCCTCACACTCCCACCTCCACCCTGGCATGCCGCCCAGAGCGGGATCTCTGGCACCTTTGAGGATAGTCCAGCTAACGCAGACCCCTCCCCGTGTGGAAACAGGGCCTCCAAAGTAAGGCTGACCCAGCGACACCTCCCCACCACCACCCAACCCTAGCCAATGAGGACACTCAGGAGTTAGCAGTAACGACCCCCGTTGGGGACGGAATCTGTAGGAGTGATGGCCCATGTCTGGTCAGGGAGCGATTCTCACATACATTCCTTACCCCACCTTGGGATATGACTGGAGCTAACCCTCTCCCAGGAGAAAGGGAGCACCGCACCATGGAGTGAGTATATTCCCATGCTTAGTGAGAAGCCCACTCTCTCAGTTACTAAGGGGATAACATCTTACTTTCCAAAGCATGGGCCTTCTATCCTCCAGAAGTGAGTAAAGACTCCCTACCACCATCCCCAAAAAGTGACATGTGATGCCCCAGGCATACCCTTATGCACTGTCCCCACAGGCTGTGTCTGGGCCAGGGGGCTGACATCTGGGCCTACATCTTGCAGCATGTGCACAGTCAGAGGTGAGCCAGGCTGGGTAAAGGGAGGAGGAGGAAAGAGGTCATGGGCAAGTCCCACTATAACTCCCTCCTCCATCTCTCTGTTGTAGGAATGTCAAGAAGATTCGGGGAAATCTACTCTGGTAACTGCTTCTTAGAGCCATCCCTTCTTATCTTTCCTGCCCATCTAGCCTTGTCCCTGCCCACAGCCTCTTATTTTCTGCCCTCTCCCTGGAAGCCCCAGGCATCTCCTAACTGTGGTCTCATTTCTTCAGGTATGGCCACCAGGACAGTCCAGAGGTGAGAAGCCTGTGCTCTCAGGTTCTCTTTCATCCAAAAAAGAACTTGTAGATCTGCTCTAGCCCCAGCCTGATGCTGGGTATGCTGAAAACACTGGGTTGTCAAACATCCCTGATCCTGTGGCCTCGAAGGGTTTACAGTCCAGGGCAAGTCAGGCAAGAGTGGGAGAGGAAGGATACCTGGGATCAAAGTTGGTGAGGGTAGATGCTGAGGCCAGAATGATCCCAGATGACATCTATGTGGAGGCTTCCAGAAGGCTACAGTACTCCAGATGTGGAGATCAAGGCTGGGACAGAAATGTGGGTGTCACCAGCACAGACAGAAAACAGGTTGGGAAGTCAGGTATGGTGGTGCATGCCTCAATCCCAGCACTCTGGGATGCCAAAGCAGAAGGATCATAAGTTTGAGCCCAGCCTAAGACCCTTTCTCAAGAGAAAAAAAAGCTGAAAATGAAGGTCAGTAGGCAGGCCCTAAGTTCAATCCCCCAATCCCTGGTACCAGATAAAGAGAGAGAGAGACAGACAAAGAGGGGAAGCCGGGGATTTAGCTCAGTGGTTCCACTGACTGCCTCGCCAGCACAAGGACCCGAGTTCAATCCCCAGTACCAAAAAAAAAGAAAGAAGGGAAAGGAAAGGAAAGAGGCTGGGAGGTTGGGTGAGGCAATCCCAGGAGGAAGGAGGGAGCCACATAGTACCCCACCTGCTTGGGAAAAAGCCCTCTGCCACTCCCTCACCCCGTGGATAAGAAACCTGGTGACCCCCTCCAAAAAATAGGCCAGGCTAAGCCCCAATTAAACCAAGAATCTGACCTTATACCTGATCCCACCAGGTCCGTCGGAAGTTGGAGCTGGAAACCACTGTGTCCCGCCTAAGGGCAGAGATCCAAGAGTTAGACCAGAGCCTGGAGCTGATGGAGCAAGAGAATGAAACTCAGGGTGACCCATGGGGCCAGGCAGATGGGCAGTGAAATACCAGACTAGGGAGACACTGACAACCACCCCTGTTCTTCCCACAGACGTGGCCACAGAACAGTCACTGCAGAGCATTCGAGACACCCAGTATCGAGCTCTTCTCCTCCGGGCCCAAGCTGGAGCTGTTCGAAGACAGCATCATGGGCTCCGAGATCCCATGAAGTGGCTACAGAATCAGCTCAAGCACCTGCAGGACATAGAGAGGTGGGGCTCGGTACCCAAGGGACCAGCCCTCATCAGGGCAGTCATTCTCCTTAGAGACCCCTCCCTGTCCTTTCTGAGTTTCAGAATTCTGAGCTCCCACCTATAGGATTTACGGTCCATAAAGCCAGAGTTTTGTTACCTTATACCTCTGTGTTGCCAGTGCCAAGAGTGGAGCCAACTGTATATCTAGAACACTGGCTCTGGAAAAAACAGTAGGACACAGGACAACTCCTTGTCCTCCTGGAGCTTGTGCTCTGATGCAGAAAAGGCAGTCCATAAACTAAGAAACAGATCCTATAGTTTCAGGTGGTGCTAAGTTTAAGGCCATATGACAAACAGAGGGGGAGGCTCAGGGCAGGCAGTAATATGAGGAAGTAACATTTCAGTTGGGGGAGAAATTTCCTTGGAGAGGGCAAGAGCAGAGGTCCTAACCTTGGCCTGTGAGAAGAACAGCTAGGAAGCCAGTTCAGCTCAGGTTCCTCAGGCAAGAGGGACTGGATAAGAAAGGGAGGTTGGATGGATGGGTGGTGTGCCATTGAGGCATTAGAGTTTGACTCTGAGACAGTTCAGGTCCTGGCTTGGCCCTTTACAATCGTGTGGCCTTAGGCAAAGTAGTTAACTTCTTGGCACCTCAATACAAGAACTGTGGAGTAGATCTCATTTCATACCAGCCTTTTACATTAGGTATGATAATTAGGTGAGTTGTGTAAAGTGCTTAGAAGAGTGCCTGGTAACCACAGTTGCTATTCTGCCTGTGATGAGAAAACATCCATTGCTGTGAAGGATGTGAACAGTGGCATGATCTTCTCTAGGTTTTGGGGGTTTTTTGTTGGTTTTTTGGTACCTGGGATTGAACTTGGGTCCTTGTGCTTGCGCAGCAGGTGGCAAAACCACTGAGCTAAATCCCCGGCCCTTCTCTAGGTTTTAACAAGATTGTTGACCACTGGGTAGAGAACAGACTACATGGGGCTGGGCAAGAGCATGGAGACCAGTAAAGGAGGCTAAGCCAGTAGTCCTGCTGTGAGATGAGAGAGGCCTGATCTCGAAGGTGACCGCTGGGGCACAGGCATGTGTTTTGCCAGGGATGTTAGCCCCAACTCCACTCCTCCCTCCAGGAAGGCCAAAGTTGATGTGACCTTTGGATCTCTGACGTCAGCAGCCCTGGCCCTGGAGCCTGTGGTCCTGGTAAGAGTCCTGGGTCCCGGAGAAGGAGTGAAGAGTGCAGTCAGGCAGACACCTGAATGCCCTTTGTGTCCCATCTTCTTCTCCCTAGCGTGATGTCCGAATGTCCTGCACCCTCCGGGCCCAGTTCCTACAGAACCTCTTGGTGCCCGAAGCCAGGGAAGGCAGTTCCCCGTGAGTGTCCCCAGGCTCCAGGAACCCTTCAAAATACCTAGGCTTTGGAGGGGGAAAGTCACTCTTTTATTAATCCTCCCAGTTTTTGTTTTGGTTTTTTTTGTACTGGGGATGAAACTCGGAACCTTGCACATTCAAGGTAGGTGTAGGAACCACTGAGCTAAATCCCCGGCCCTCTCAGGTTTTGAGCTTCTGGACTATGTCAGTTCCAGGCTGTGTCCTGACATGGCTCCCAAGCTGGAAAAAGGAGGAGACAGACCCATAGCAGACAGTAATGGCCAGGTGGTCAGCTCTGTGGGAGATAGGGAAGCCTAAGAGGGAGCTAAGGAGGCAGGGAAGGGAGCAGTTCTCTGGTGAGGAAGCTTAGCCAGGGTAACAGGCTAAGTCTAGCAGGGAACTCAAGTCTAGCGGGCATAGATGGACTCAGTTTCCTCATGTGTAAAACGGGGACAGAGAGAGCCCCTACCTTGTAGATTGGTGGTGATAAGTGGAAGATAACTGATGTGTCTTATAACATTCCTGTCCCCTTGCCCGGCCCCACAGAAGCCCCCATGATGACCACTTTGGAACTTCTTACCAGCAGTGGCTTAGCTCAGTAGAGGTGAGAAGGTGGGGCTCTTGGAAAGGCCACACCCTCCAGACCCATTTCAAGCCTCAGGAGCCACCTCCTGGCCCCGCATCCTATCTCATTCCTGTGGAGCCCCCACTTACTGCCCAGTCCCCATTGTGCCCTGACTTCACCCTTCCTGCTCCCCAGACACTGCTGACAAATCACCCCCCAGGCCACGTCCTGGCTGCCCTGGAGTACCTGGCTGCAGAGCGGGAGGCGGAGATCCGGTCCCTGTGTGGTGGGGATGGGGTCAGAGACATGGAGAAATCCAGGTGTGGAGTGACATGTTCCAAGTCAGGGAAGGCCTGTGGGTGAGTGAGCTGGGCCAGTCAGGATCAGGCACAGTGACCTGCTGGTGGGGCAGAACTGAATGCCAGGGCCCAATGTGGTGGGCAGGCTGATACTGTCTGGTCCCAAGTACCAAGGCCAGGATGCAGGGCTGCTCCCTCAGCAGCTCAACCCTCACACAGGCCCCAGGCCCTGGCCCCAGCAGACTCCAGCCAAGCCCTGCCATCCTTGGTGCATCTCATCCAGGTAACCTCCAGCTGCCCTCCCAGTACCCTCAACCCCTCACCCCTGTGGACCATGCTCACACAGTCCTTGTATCTACCCCCAGGAGGGCTGGCGGGCTGTGGGTGCACTGGTCACCCAGCGAGGAGCCCTTCTGAAGGAGCGTCAGGTCCTGACTGGCCATCTCCAGGGCCTGGTGGAGGAGGTGGAGAGACACAGCATGGGACCCAGAGAGAAGTGAGGAGCTCCCTTGGCAGAGGCCTCTAGGCCCCTCTCTCCCAGGCATCTCAGGATGCAGACATTTTCTGCCCCTGTGATTCCCCTCTCTGCCTCCCTTTCCGTGGGCTTTATCTCTGTGTGTTTATGGTTCCTTGTGCATTCCTGAAGATTGGGTCTCTCTCCCTAGAGTGGCTCTCAGTCTCCTTCCTCTCCTTTGCTTTTTTCTGCTTGTCTCTCAGGAAGGCACTAATGCTGGGCCTTCAAGGCTGTGGCCTGCGGGCAGAGCTCAAAGCCTTGTGTTCCCAGAGCCAGGAGCTAGAAGACGCATCTGGGCATCAGCAGCTCCTCCTCCGAGAGCTGCAGGCCAAGCAGCAGCGAATTCTGCACTGGCGGCAGCGGGTGGTGAGAGGCAGGGCCTGGCAGGGGCAAGAGCAGAGGCGTGGGGCCTTGAGATCAAGCACCAGGCGGGGAGGGGTCAGGGTGAGATCCCCAGGAGGAAGCAGGGCCATGCAAAGGGAGGTCCTCAGCCTGGGAGGTGAGAAGGACATGCAGCTAGTCCCCATGGCCTCCTGGCTCCCCAGGGGAAGACCCAGGAGCAGATTCGCCTACTCATCAAGGGAAACTCAGCCAGCAAGACACGCCTGGGCCGGAGCCCTGGGGAGGTGAGATGAGTATTGGGGTGATGAGGTCTGGGGTAGGGACGAGGGGCTAGATCTGCTGGGCATAGGGCTGGGTCAACACAGCCTGCCCACCCATACCTCTCCCTCCCAATAGGTGCTGGCTCTGGTTCAGCAAAAGGTGATCCCTACCTCTGAGGCAGTGGCACCACAGAGCCAAGAGCTGCTGCACTGCCTGGAAGAGGGAGCCCGGCACCTGCCTCACATTCTCCTGAGCACCCTGCTACGGCACAACCCTGAAGGGTAATCTCTAAAGCCCAGCCTCCCTCTCCCCTGTGCTAGGTCGGTCATTCCCTGCACCTCCTCCAAAGAAGTAGCCCCAGTGTTCCCAGGCTTTCCAGCCTCACCCTCAGGTTCAGCCCCAGTCTGATATCTTAGTCCCCAGGCCCACCTTCAAGTTCCTTGGCCTCCAGAGCTTCTGGAACTCAAGCCCTCTCTCCATGTTCCATCAAACCTGGTCTTCTTCCCCAGGTTGAAGTCCCTGCCCACACTCCTACCATCCATCCACCAGTTGCACCCTGCATCCCCCAAGGGCTCCAGCCTGATAGCATTGAGCCACACACTGGGGCTGCGTGCAGGGAAGGTAAGTGCCTGACCCCTAGGACCTGTCTGCCCATCACCATCCCCACCCCTGCCCTTGGTGACTGTCCTTTCCCTCCCTCCAGGGCCCAGAGCTGCTTCTCCCAAAGGCTGCCTCTCTTCACCAGGACCTTTGGTTCCTCCAGGACCAGCAGAGTCTCTGGTGCAGGGATCTGCTTCACATGAAGACCAGTCTACCACAGGGACCATCCACACAGGGTAGGCTGCCCTGTTTCCCATACCCTGCACTCCTGCTCAGTCCCAGCACCCGCACCCACTGCTTACCCAATGTGTACAGTGTGCTTGGAACATACTCAGTTGTTAAATCTGCACATTTTACAGAGAAGGGAGCTGGGTTGCAGAGGGCTTAGTAGCTTACCCACGTGGCAGAGCTGGAATTGGAACCCAGGGAGCCTTACGTGGGTCTGTGCTCCTAATCACTAGGCAACACTGAGCATCCATTTGCCAACTTCCCCTCACCGCCAGATAGTGGACTTGAGCAGTTAGAAGTTGTGCTGTGGAGTCCAACTACCTGGGTTATCTTCTCAGTGCTTTCTCTTCCTTGCTGTGTGACCTGCCCATATTTCAGTTTCCTCCTCAGTGGAGTGAACATAATAACCATTAGAAATCACTGGGAAGATTCAGCCAGGCATGCAGTGAGCATTTCGTGTCTCTGCTGTGATTACAGTAATTGTGTACACACGGTCTCTTTGAATCCTCACTGTGAGGGGAAGGATTATTAAGACTCACAATTTACAGATGAGGAAATGAACTCTGAGAAATCTGGGTGCTGGCCCAGACAGCTTGATGAATGGAGTATGAGGGAAGAGCTGTCCAGCCCTGTGGTAGAAGCAGAGAAAAGAATCAAAGGATAAATAGATAGGTGAACTGATAAATGGATTGGGAGAGGCAGGTCCTGGGGCACACACCTGTGGTGCCAGCATTCTGGGAGGCTGAGACAGAAAGATCACAAGTTTGAGCCCAGCCTGAGTAACTTAGTGACTTATTTAGACCCCATTGTAAAATAAAAAATAAAATGGGAAGGGGATGTAGCTCACCGTGAAGGGCCTGGAGTTCAGGTCCCAGTACTGGGGGAAAATAAAAAGAATTGGAGGTAGGGCTGGGGATTTAGCTCAGTGGTTGAGGTGCCTGCCCCACAAGCACAAGGACCCGAGTTCGATCCCCAGTACCCCCAAAAAAGGAAAGAATTGGAGGTGTCATCAGCCAAATAGAGATCACTTTCGAGCTTTTGAGTTTGGGGCTCCCAGCCTCCCACCTCTCCCTAAGGAAATGTGCAGGAACAGTCTGAGCCATGGCATAACATGTCCCCACCTCACGGGCATCTTGAACTTTCACATATCTGTAAAAGAATTCTCAGTTCTCTTTACTCCAAAGAGCTAGTTCATTCCTCTTCTTTGTGGTTTCCTCCCCTCAGTAACTGTCTCGTCTTCCTCATCCAGTTGCTACAGCAGAAACCCTAGGGCCATCCTTCATTCCTCCCAGCTCCCTAACTGCCCCACTTGAACCTGTCAGCAAGTGCTGTGGGTCCTCTCTCCTGAGTTCTCCAGTCTTCCCCTCTCTACTAGCCTATAGCCTGACAGCAGAGATGGCTAAAGAAAGGACAAGTGTCAAGATTGAGGTCACAGGGAAAGGATGGGATAAAGTCAGGATTCAGGCTCAGGAGGTCTGACCACGCTCCTGATCTGCACGTGCTCTGAGATGGTCCTGTTCTGAGTACATGGAGAGGAACTAGGCCCAGTCACATTCCTGGGGGGAAACACCACTGGAGTCAAGGGCTGGAGCAGGCTGAGGAGGAAACTCTGGGATGCCAGATGCTGGAAAGGGCTTTCCAAAGGAAAGATGGTATCCTACATGGGCCCTGGGGTGGGGATGGGTTTTCCCCAGAGTAACGAGCAGGGTCACATAATGCAGACTCTTGTACCAAACTGAGAAGCTTGGGAGCACTAGGGAGCCTTGGAAGATTCTAAGCAGAGGGGGGAAGCGATCAGGTTTGGGTCTCAGGAAGGTCATTCTAGCTGCCAAATGGAGGGTGACCAGAGTGGGAGACAGACCTGGGGCCTAGGTGGGAGGCTAACAGGAGTAGGGAACAGAGAGAAACTTGGGAACCTGAGTGGATGGGCCATAGAGTCTGCTGGGCTGTCATGGGAAAGAAAGACGGTCTCTGGGATGAGGCCTGCTGTGTTGGGGTTGCCCTTGAGATGAGGACTCAGGAGGAGGGACAGGACTAGGTGACCCTGTTGGCTGTGAGGCTCCAACAAGCCAGATGACTCAGTGCTGTCTCCCGGGCTTCCAACCTCCAGAGCTGCTGCAGATCCAGGCATCCCAGGAAAAGGAGCAAAAGGAGAGCCTGGGGCAGGCTCTAAAGAGGCTGGAGAACATGCTGAAACAGGCGCTGGAACGCATCCCTGAACTGCAGGAGGTTGTGGGGGACTGGTAAGAGAGGGAAATGGGGTGAGGAGGACTGAGCTGGGTGGAAAGTCAGGGCTCAGGCCTTGAGGATGACAGGAGGCCGGGGGTGGGGGGGGTCTGGAGGGCCGGGCCTTCCCTCTGATGTCATGCCCTTTCCCAGGTGGGAGCAGCCAGGCCAAGCTGCCCTCTCTGAGGAGCTCTGCCAGGGCCTGTCCCTGTCCCAGTGGCGTCTGCGCTGGGTCCAGGCCCAGGGGGCCCTGCAGCAACTGTGCAGATGAGGAAGAGGCTAACTCGGGCCAAGAATTCCACACTTTTTCATTCAGCACCTCTTCTTCTCCAATAAAACATTCAAAAGAAAGCACATAGTCGGGATTGGCAGCCTGTAGTTCCCGCAAATACCTGCAGTTCCTCTCGGGCTGTTCTGCTGCTCCTCTCTCTTCCTACCCTCCCCTTTCATCCCACCAAAGCCAAGAGAATGAGGTATCCAGGAGCACATCCCCTGTGTGTGCCCCTTAAATTCCCAGCATGACTTTCACCCTCAGCAAACGTAACTGAGCACCTCCTTAGAGCACTGGGGATATAGCACAGAACAAAATGGCTCAGCATCCCTGCCTTTAGGAAGTGATGGGGGCCAGACAGTTGGTGAGGTAAGTGAGATACATAGTTTTGTTGGAAGAAGTCTGCTGTGAGAAAATAAAGCAGGTGTAGGAGGTGAGATTTTTAAATAGAGAGAACACTGTAAAGTCACACGGGTGTCAGGGAGACCCCGGCACACACCTGTGTGTTGAAATGTACTGGTACGAGGGCCATAGAGGAGCCCCTCATAATGGAAAGTGGGAGAAAGTTAAGAGATAAGCTTTTCTTAGAGTTTTTAGTTTCCTTTTTTGACATTAAATCTAGGCATTTGGAATTTAGCTTAGCAAACACATTCAATCTTATCTTATTTCATATATATCCCAGCAGCACTTAGTAAATTCTCAGGCAGAGCAGCAGTTGCCGGTGGCAGGGATCAAATAAGGAGACACAGAAACTAGGGCAGTGGTGGTGAATCTATGACACATGTGCTGGAGCAGGCTGTTTGTATCATTGAAAGATCTAAAAGGTTAGCCATCATTACTCTAGGGTAATGGGAATATAGTATGTATCAGGAGCAGCATGGGTCCCCCTTGTGTACAGATTGGTCAGAACTCACCTCGTACTTTTTTTGTGGTACTGGAGATTGAACCCAGGTCCTTCACATTGAGCTGCATCCCAACCCTTTTTAAATTTGGAGACAAGGTCTCACTGAGTCACTAAGTTGTCCAGGCTAAGCCTGAGCCAACAGTGTTCCTGGCTCAGCCTCCCAAAGTGCTGGGATTACAGACATGTGCCACACCTGCCTTCCTTGTCCTCTTACGGCCTTGTGCATCTCACCATGTGGATTATTCTTCCTTTATAAAGTAAAACTACCCACTGGTTTGAAGTACCACATTTTTCTACACCAAATTTCTGTATTTAATTAGACTGTCTTTTGAGCTATGATGTGCACACCTGCAATCCCATCACTTAGGAGGCTGGGGCAGGAGGATCGCCATCAGTTCAAGGCCACCCTGAACTACATAGTAAGACCTTGTCTCAAAAAAAAAAAAAGTAAAGAAAGACTGTCTGTTTTTTCCAGACCCATTGTATATGTAACTCTCCATGTGCCGTTGCCATAATGCTTTCATTGTAAAGGTTTTGCAGTACATGGTAATGTTGGAAACTGGATTGCACTCAAGGCCTTTATTTTTTTTCAAGGTTTCCCAGCCTCTTGTGGCTAATTTTTTTCTCCCAGATGAAACAAACTACTTAGCCTGCCTGGTTCTAGAAAAAAACCACAAATGGCAGTTTTATTGGTTTTACAATATACTTACAAATTAAGGAAATTTGACATCTCCATGATCTTGATCCTTAATCATTATCTCTACCTCCCTCCTGACAACTCCTCTCTCAGCCTGCAAAGCCATCTCCCAGCTTTCCTCATCCCTGGCTACTGTTCCCATCTTTACACTTTTGCTTTCCTATGCACAGTACTTAGTGTTCCCCCTCTAAGTGGATCCTGGCCCTGCTGCAGACCAGCTGCAGTCGATGCAGGGTAGGAAGGGGAGAGGTCCCGGGCCGGCGAGTGAGAAAAGAACCTTCACAAGCAATGTTCAGGTTCCCTCTGATAAGTCTCAGGGTCTGATTTATTTTTATATCTTTAAGCAATAGCTTGGAGGCATTGGGCGGAACATGTTTACATTTTAGGTTGCCTTAGCAATTTCTATTGAAGTAAAGGTTATTTTTTGCTAAACAGGGTATATTTTTTCTAAGCTGATTCATTTCATTGAACATCATGAATATATTTTAAAAATTACAATTGTCCCCTTATTTACCCACATCTAAGCAGAACAGAAGGTAACTTAATCAAAATCTCTATATCAGTGGGGGTACAAGCAAGATTTAGTTAATTAAATGTCAAACTTGTGGTCGTCAGCTGGCCCTTGAGAAACTGCATAATGGTTAATATAGTTTGCTATTAGCTCTCTATTTTTCTATACCTCTATTCATCTTACTTAAGTGTTATTTGGGTTCATGGTCCATGAGCAGGAGATGTTTACAGTACTTTGAGAAAAACTGAGTAACTTGCCTCCTTAGTGTATTTATCTGTCTTAACTTTCTTTCTATTTCCCATTTCCCACTGTTTCTTACATCTAAAATCTGTCCTTTCAGTCTCTTTATAAGACCCCTTTAGTAAAAAGAAAGTCATCAATGGAAGAAAGGAGTTATAGTAGCGGGAAAACAGAGGGAGTTTTAGGAGAGGTTTCTTTAGAAGTGGGTGTGGCAATAGAACTAAGAGAAACAGGAATTTGGGACTTTTGAGCCAAATCAGATTTCAATATAACATTGCCAATTTGCCTCATGGAGAATATGTTGTTAGTCACAAACACAATGATTCCTGTGACCAGAGTAACAATTGTAAACATTATGGCAAGAAAAAAATAAAACATGAGGGTACGATGTGTTCCACCCTCCTTTTCCCCCAGCTGGAACTTTGTCAAGCAGCACTGGAGGTCGGTCGGGCCTCACCATGGCCCCTCCAAATTCAGCCCACCTCCCTATCAAAGTCCAAATGTGGCATCCTTATCCACCCTCCCTGCTCAATTTTTGTCCAGAACAAATCTAACATACAATGTGTTATCTTTTCTCTCTCGAGTAGAACGTGACCTCTATGAAGGTGAACTCCTTTATAAACTAGAAGTAGGGAAAACTTGCCTAGATATGATGCAAAGTCCAGATATAATAAATATTGACAAAATTGTCTACATAAAAGTAAACTTTTGCATGGCAAAAAAAGAAATCCCAAGTTGGACAAAAATATTTGCCTCATACCATAAATGTGTGTGTGTGTGTGTGTGTGTTTCTGTGTATCTGTGTAATGTAAAACTGAGAAAGAAAAATTGCAAGCCCATAGAAGAATAGGGAAAATATACAAATGGACAATTTTCAGAAAAGATGGGCCAAGTCTGTTGTAATAAAAGTAAGGCAAATTATGCTTTGACACATTTCCTACCTAGTAATTTCAGAATGACAGGCTCAAAAACTACTATTTTCCATCCATTAAGTGATAGATACAGATAATAACCATCAAATCAAGGGCTGCTAAAGCTTTTAGGGGAAAAGATAATGTAGCTGATCAATCTTGGCATCATGAAAGGAGGAAGAAGCATAACATTTTGTGCTCCTGATGGGATACATGAGATACAGCAGAATATCTACAAAGTAGTCACCGCCCCCCATTCCTGCATCTGAGAGTTCCTTATCAGAGCACATCCATGGATTTAATTACCAACCAGATTGAAAATATTCAAGAAATAAGTTGCATCCTTACTGAACATGCACAGACTTTTTTCTTGTTATGCCCTGAACAAACAACACAGTATAACAACTATATTACATTATATTGAGTATTAAAAATAATCGAAGTGCTGGGTGTGGTAGCACACAACTAGTAATCCCAGCACTCAGCAGGGTGAAGCAGAATGATTGCCTCAAGTTCGAGGCCATTCTGGGCTACATAGTTCAAGGTCAGCCTGAACTACATAGCAAGACCCTATCTCAAAAAATAAGAGTTAAAAGTTGGAACAATTAGAAAAATAAAAGTATCAGATTACAACCCAAAATATAAATTTCCATGGGTCCACACTGATATAAATGAACATAGGCAAATCTCCCACACAACACAATTTTATTTTTTTATATATATTTATTGGTACATTTTAGGTATACAATACATTTACATTTATCATTGGGTATTTGTACCTGAACATGATGTATCTTAGTTCTTTTTTCTCCCATTACCTGTGCACCCTTCACCCCCTCCACCCTTCCCTATTTACACAGACTTTGATTCCATTTTTTTTTCTTTCTCATAATTTTTCCTTTCCCTTCTTCCCTTTCCCCTTCCCCTCCCACCACCCCCAAACTCTTGGACCTTTTCCTATTTCAAATTATCAGTTATTCATTTTAATCATTTTCATCCTTATTTACACTTTTTTCTCACACTAGAGAAACTATTCGGTATTTACACGTGTGTCCTATTTCACTTAAGAGTATGGGCTCAATATGCATCCATTTAGCTATAAATGTCTCTAGTTTCTCATTCTTTATGGCTGAGTAGTACTCCACTTTATTAAAAAACTACATCTTCTTTATCCAGTTTCCAGTCGATGGGCACTTGGGCTGTTTCCCAGCTTTAGCTATTATAAACTGTGCCACTATAAACATAGGTGCACATACATCACTGTGGTATGATTCTTTTAATTCTTTGGGGAAGATTCCCAGCAGGGGAATAGGTGGGTCAAATGGGACCTCTAGCCCTAGTTCTTTGAGATATCGCCATACGGATTTCCACAGTGGTTGCACCAGTCTGCACTCCCACCAGCAATGGAGAAGGGTTCCTTTCTCCCCACACCCCCGCCAGCATTTGTTATTGGTTGATTTCTTGATAGCAGCCATTCTTTGTGGGGTGAGGTGGAATCTCAGTGTTGTTTTCATCTGCATCTCTCGAGTGACCAGTGATGTTGAAGATTTTTTCATATATTTATTTGCTGTTTTTACTTTGTCTGAGAAATGTCTGTTCATTTCACATGCCCATTTTTGAATTGGGTCTTTGAATTTGGGGGGTCTGATTTTTTTCAGTTCTTTATATATTCTCGATAGTAGACCTTTGTCTGAGGTACAACTGCTAAAAATTTCTTCCCAAATTGTAGGCACAACACAATTTTAAATCATTTATGTAGATATTCCACCTTCAAGGTGGTGCGTAACTCCCCACTTAATTGTGACTGCATATAATGACTTTCTTCTAAAGACCATGGAAAGGAAATGTAAATTTAGTGGAGAAGCCTGGAAAACACTTTAGCTGGTGGTTAGAGTTAACATCCTCAGTGGTAAGTCATGTGGACAGTACCAGTGGTAGCAAACCTATGGCATGTGTGCACAGCCAGATGTTTGTTACTGACAACTAAAAGGTTCACCATCACTGGTCTTTTTTTTTTTTATACGGGGGATTGAACTCTGGTCCTTACGCTTTCGGGGCAGGCAGCAGAACCACTGAGCTAAATCCCCACCCCCACTGGTCCTTGATATGAGTTGAACTTCACTTGTGTAATCTTCTCCCAAAAGACTCCAGTCTAATACAGAGAAAAACATCAAACGAATTACAAATGGGGGACCTTCTATAAAATACCTAAAAAGCACCCCTCAAAACTGTCAAAGTTGCCAAGTGTGGCAGTGCACACCTTTAATCCCAGATTCAGGAGGCTGAGACAGGAGGATCTCTTCGAGAACTACATAGTGAGACCCTGTCTCAAAAAAATCCCCCAAAACTGTCAACGTCATCAAAAGCAAATGTAATGTGGTAACCTGGACAAGATTCTGGGATAGAATAGGGAGACTAAACAAACACTAAGAAAATCTAAATAAAGTTTGGACTTTGGTTAACAATGTTTTGAGGTGTTTTTTTTAAGTGAAGCTTCCAATTCTCTCCTTAATCCTATCTTTATCACAAAAGCAAACAAAATCAGTATTTTTTTTAAGGGGGAAAACCAGCATTTTAGTCGCACATTCATTTCTGCTGATTCAAGATGGGGACTTCAAGATACCAAGGCAACCAGTAAATTATAATAGGGACAGAGGGGAACAACCAGCCAAATATAATATGTGATCTTATTTGCATCCTGATTTTACAATTCTGTACAAAGACATTTTTGAGTCAGGGAAAACTGAACATACTCTGGGTGTTCAATGAAACTAAGGAAGTTTTTGTTTGAGACAAAGAGTCTTGCTATGTAGTTCAGGCTGGTCTTGAACTTATATAGCCCAGGCTGTAGTTTGAGGCAATCCTCCTGTCTCAGCCTCCCGAGTGCTGGGATTACAGGTGCTAGGATTACAGGTGCGAGCCACCCTAAGGAATGAATTTGACAGTGTTAACAACAGCATACTTAATGGATTTTTAAAAAAAATTGTTCTTATCTGTTAGCTATACTGACGCCATTTGAGTGAATTGATAGATTCTGGAATTTGTTTTTAACATACTCCAAGAAAAATAAGTGAATTATAAAGATGAAACCTAAAGTGTATAATATTGGTAGTGTTTAAATTATATGGGGCCAGGGTTCTTTATACTATTCCCTCTAATGTTGGATATGTTTGAAAATAGTCATAATAAAAAGCTAAATGTTTCCTAAGAAAGGGCGCAGAGAACCCATACATGTGTCCTCTGCCTTGGCATGAGCTGTTGATTCTATCTAGAACATTTCTCCCCATTTTATCTAGCAAATGTTTTCAGATGTCCTCTTCTCCAGAAAACTGGGTCAGAGCTTCCTGCCGATTTCCACCATGAGGTCTCTGGTCTTCGGTAATCTCCGACAGTCTGTGTGTCCACCTCAGTGGAGGAGTTCCCCACCCACAAGAGGCCCCTATTCTCGACCAGCGCCGAGGTGAGGTTAACGCGGACTTCAGAGTGTCCTCCAGCTCTCGGCTCGGGTCTCACGGTGGTATGGGAGTGGCCTCCGAACTTTTCTGCGTTTTCAAAGGTCCAGATTCCACTTTAGGGATGGGGCCAACTGACTTTGTTTAGCTCTGATTAGCCCACGTTCCTCCATGAGGGCGTGGCCGCCTCTCTTCTCTGTGCTCGGATAGACCCAGGTTTTCTCATTGATCCTTTCCGGCACTCTGGTAGGCTTACAGTCCTCCTTGGGGGTGTGGCCGTGCCTCATTGGTCCTCGCTCTCGGGCGTATGACATCATGAGATAGCGTCCTTCGCTTTCGCTAGTACGTCATCTGCGGGCGCCCGCCCTGACGAAGGTTGAGAGTAGACCTCAGGGGCGGCGGCGGCGGCAGCTAAATCGAGGCGGTAGTAGCGGTGACGGCGACGGCAGCAGCAATGGCCGGGGCAGGGCCAGCCCCGGGACTCCCGGGTGCAGGAGTACCCGTGATCCCAGGCCCTGGTGCCGGCATCCCGGGCAAGAGCGGCGAGGAACGCTTGAAGGAAATGGAGGCGGAGATGGCCCTGTAAGGCCTGCGACAGGGAGTAATAAAAACCAACTCAAAACCAGAGCTAGTGGATCCTGTAGCTTCCAGGCCTCGATAGGCCCAAGATATGGCTCTGAGCTGAGGAAGTGGGACCTTCGGGATGGTGTTGGGGCTGGGGGTTACGGAGACGTTGGCAGCGGTGAAGGACCTGACCTGTGGTGTCTGTCCTGAACCCGCAGGTTTGAGCAGGAAGTTCTGGGGGCTCCAGTAACCGGAATCCCCACTGCTATGCCCGCGGTCCCCACAGTGGATACGATGCAGGTCCCAGCAGCTCCTGTGATCCGCCCAATTATTGCGACCAACACATACCAACAGGTAAGTTTTAGCTAAGACATGTAAATCGTGAAGAACAATGCCTTGAACACAGTGTTTGTACAGAGAGATCTATTGACATTTTGTCTTCTTGGCTAATTAGTATGACAAATATTTCATGTGGTAGGCTCTAGGGTGTAGTAATAACTAAGACAATATTTCTTTGGGTAGCTGATATTCTAGAGCATGTTGTCCAGTAGAACTTAGCAGGAATGTTCTGTATTTAAAGTTTATAATTACTTACCAAGCACTCCCTTTTTGGAGTTTATATTTCACTAGGAAGAGATAGGTCAGAGTGTGGTAAGAAAGGCAGAGGTTTATCATCACAAGCAAAGAAGATCTTTTCAGGGATGTGTTATTTAAGCAGAGATAGAAAGGAGGTGATGAAACTGTGCAGGTATCTGAGGGAAGAGTGATCCCAGCAAAGAATTGCCAGTGCAGAGTCCCTGGAGCAGGTACATAACTTCATGCTCAAGGGATAGCGGGGAGATCAGTGGTTAGAATAGAATGAGCAAAGAAGAAAGTGGGAGAAGATAAAGACAGAGGTGAGGAAAGTCAAATCTAGTAGGGCTCTAGGTGCCACCATAAAGACCTTGGCTTTTACTCTGAGATGGGGAACTGTTGGAGATTTTGAGCAGAAGGGTGATATGTTTCAACTTGAGGTTGATAGGGCTACCCCAGCTATCTGGACTGTACAGGGCAAGGGTTAAATCAAGAAGGCTGAGGAGGCTGCTGTAGTAATCTAGGCAAGAGGTAATGGTGGCTTGGACCAGGGTGTATTGGAGATGACAAGAACAGGTTGGACGTTATTTCAGGTAGTGCTGTGGGGAAGATGAAAAGGAGTAGTGAGAGAAGTTGTTCTGAGGAGAGGATAAGGACTGCTTTAGCTAATGTGATCGAAAGAGCCTCCCTGTGCCAGGCGTGGTGGCACATGCCTGTAATTCTAGCACTTGGGAGGCTGAGGCAGGTGGATTGCTTTGAGTTTGAGGCCAGCCTGAACTACATAGCAAGACCCAGTATCATAAAAACACGCAAAAAAAAGCCTCCCTGAGAAGTGAATTTTAGCTGACACCTCACAGGAACCCAACCCCACACAGAACACAAAGAATGAAAGTCTTGGATTCCTGGGGTGAGCCAGCCAGGGCAGATTGGGAGCACTGAGCCCAGCCCCTCTTCCCAAACGTCTCCCCAACAGGTCCAACAGACTCTGGAGGCCCGGGCAGCCGCTGCAGCCACAGTAGTTCCTCCCATGGTGGGTCCTCCTTTTGTGGGCCCAGGTGAGTAAAGAGTGGCTGACAAGAGGGTTAGGGGATCAGGCCGGGTGGTACAAAGGGATGCCCAGGACTCTTCCCACCATCTTCATCTTTCCTTTCCCAACAGTTGGCTTTGCCCCTGGTGATCGAAGTCACCTGGACAGTCCAGAGGCTCGAGAAGCCTTGTTCCTGCGCCGAGCAGGTAGGTCATGGTCAGGAACCCCACTGGTTTAGGTGACTTCAGCCTTTTGTCTGAATCGCTGCTTTAAATCACCTTCTCCATTCATTTCTATGCTCGTGTTGTCATCCTTCTAAAGCACAAACCAGTGTGTACTTCCTGATTATTTCAAATCAATTTGGTCTTAACCTGGCAAACCAACCCTCCCCCATCACTTCTAATCCCTAACCTGTGCTGTTTCTCCCTAGTACTTAACATTTTATAACAAGCTATACCATTTACTTATGGTTATCTTCTTTTGCTTCCTGTAAAATACAAGCTTTGTGAAGGCCAGAACTCTCGAGTCCTGCCATAAAGTAAGCATGACTTACTATCTAATAAGGGGCTGAACAGATTCCCAAACAAGTACTGAGCTCCTTACCTAGTAGTCGAGACCCTGCATGACCTGGTTCCTTCCAGAGAGAGATCTGCACAGCCTCCCCAGAAGCCCCAAACATTGCTGAGATGTACCAGCAAGGCTTTGTCGAGGTCCCTTCTCCCTGTTGCTGCTTTCAGTTGGCTGTAATCTCCCAACCTATCCTTTCCACAAGGCATTCTCCACATTTTACCACCTTTTCAGATAACCCTTACACACAGTTTTGTTTTGTTTGTTTTGTTTTTTTGGTACCGGGGAATTGAACTCAGGGCCACACTTGCAAGGGAGGCATGGGCCCGCTGAGCTAAATCCCCGGCCCCCTACACACAGTTTTTATGACATCACTTACTTATATATATGAAAAGGGTATGTGTTCTCATTCAGATGTCAAAGTCTGATATAATAATCTCTGTTAGGTCAAATCTGTTAATTACGTTTTCTAAATCCTCCTATACTTGCTTACCTGATAATATCTAAGAAGTGTTAACACACTCTTCAGTAAGGTTTTGATCAAAAGGCAAATCTGACCTATGTGAAGTCATCCTGCCCAGCTTCTAACCCTACTCCCGGATCCCTCTGAAGGACATCCATGGCTCAGCCAGGAAGGCTGTACTTAGAAGCCTGCTTCCATCAAAACACTTTCATAATGCCCTCCAACCTGCTACTTTTTCTGTCACAATCACACTAAGCTGCAAAGGGGAAAAGCGTTTTGTTACTGTTGTTGTTTTTCCTCAGTTTTTTGAAACAGGGTCTCATGTAGTCATGGTGGCCTTGAACTTACTATGTAGCCCAGGCTAGCCTTGAATTCAGGGCTGTCTTCCTGTCTCAGCCTCCCAAGTTCTTGGATTACAGGTATATACCACCATGTCCAGCTAAGGGATAAAGATTTTATTTATGAAAATTCTCCCTGACAGTAACATTTCCATTCACTCTTTGCCTAACTCTTCATTATCCTTTGGGTCTCAGCTTCCAGGTTTCTTTTTCCAGAAAACCTTCTCTAGTCCTGCTGCCTGGGTCAGAAGGCTTTGACAGCTTTGACAGCTCCCTGGCCTTCCATTCCCTACCCAGATCCCTCCGCCCTGGTTTTCCCCCATTCTAGCTCAGATCAGTCTGGGCCGTCACTCCCTAGTAACATCTTCTCCCTTCCTACTCTCGATAAGAGCTTCCTGAGAACCCTTGGTCTATGCTGGGTCCGTAGCATTATCCAACAAAAGGCTGGGCCCACAAGAGATCCTCATGGTCAGTTTTTGCTGAATGGACCAATGGAAAGACCCCCACATCTCCCAGAAGGATCCCCAAACTTTTTCAAGATTTCTTGGATGCTGAGAGTAAACACACACACACACACACACACCCCACGCACATACACACGCCCTTTGCCCCAAGTGCCCATCCCCCATGACACACCCCCCCATCTCTCTCTCCCACAGCTGTGGCCCCTCAGAGGGCCGCTGTCCTGCGTCCAGCCTTCGTCCCTCACGTGCTACAGAGAGCAGGTGAGAGGGCCAGGGTCATCACTACCACACAACTCGCTCCCCAAGCCCTCCGACTCTCCCACTAACACCCTGACAGATTCTCTTCTCTCATCTGCAGCAGGCACTCCCCGCCCGATGGCCCTGCGCCCCCCGCACCAGGCTCTTGTGGGACCCCCGCTTCCTGGGCCCCCTGGACCACCCATGATGCTGCCACCAATGGCTCGGGCCCCGGGTCCCCCCCTGAGCTCCATGGCTGCTCTGAGGCCTGCCCTGGTAAGTGTGGATGGGGAACTAATGCCGTGAGTGGGAACCCCTTACCAGTTCTGCCTTTTCTCCTGCTCATTTCTCTGACTTTGTCTCAATCTCTTTCTTTATTAGTGCATATTATGGAGAATATTGATTTTCCTTTTGGCATTTTTATATATGCATATAACACACTTTGATTCATCTTGGTTTTTGTCTGTCTTTAGTCTTGAGGTTGAATGTTTATATTTTTCTCTCTTTTTGGAGAGAGTATAGAGAGAAATTTATGCTGAGGGGGTATGTCTGTCTCTGTCTCTATTTTTCCTTTGACTGTCCCTCTCCGTTTCTCTCTTGTGTTTCCACCTGTGTCTTTCTGTCCCTCTCTGCTTATGTTTCTCTCTTTCTGACTGTAGAGTCTTGCTTTCTTGCCTGCTGTCTGGCTTTGCCGTATGGGTAGGGATGGATAAGATAGAGGCTGCAGTCTAGCCTCCTCATTCCCTCTTTTATTTTTCAGTTTTTGTTTTTATTAGTATGTATTTGCAGTGTATAATGATTACATTCATTGTGGGGAGTTGGTACATGTATATGACACATTCATGCCCCCCTCTTGCCTGCAGGAAGAACCAGCAGCACCCCGAGAGCTGGGCCTAGGCCTGGGGTTGGGCCTGAAAGAGAAGGAAGAGGCAGTGGTGGCAGCGGCAGCTGGGCTGGAGGAAGCTAGTGCTGCAGTGGCTGTGGGAGCAGGAGGTGCTCCCACGGGCCCTGCAGTCATTGGGCCCAGCCTGCCACTGGCCCTGGCCATGCCATTACCTGAGCCCGAGCCCCTGCCCCTACCACTGGAGGTAGTACGTGGCCTGCTGCCCCCACTGCGCATTCCTGAGCTCCTATCCCTTCGTCCACGACCCCGGCCCCCTCGGCCTGAGCCCCCCCCCGGCCTCATGGCTCTCGAGGTAAGCAGAGAACATAGCAGTGAGAGGACAAAAGGCTGGGAGAACAGGCAGGAATCCATGAACTTTTGCACACACCACTTACATAGTCTTCCATCCAGAGCAGGGAGGACTGGGGAGAGGGAGGCGGGCACACATACCTCACCCCAGGAGCATATCCAGTCCTTTAACTGGAGGAAGGGGGAAGAGATTGCAGCACCAAGTCCTTTGTACCCCTCCCCCTTGCTCTGCAGGTGCCAGAGCCCATGGGTGAAGACAAGAAGAAAGGGAAGCCGGAAAAATTGAAACGCTGCATTCGCACAGCAGCCGGAAGCAGCTGGGAGGATCCTAGCCTGTTGGAGTGGGATGCCGGTGAGTGGGCTACAGTGTGAGGTCAGGCTGTCCTGAACCATGGACAGGCCCTGTTGCCTCTGTGGGCCAGGTAACTCCACCACTCCACTGTTAGCCTACCTTGGGAAAGGCTGACTGCAGCACTGAGGGACAAGTACCTCCCCTCGCCATAGGCCAAGGCTTTCTGACCCCTGTTTTACCCCTGAGGAGCCTGGCCTGCTCAAGTTCTAAGAGCATTCTTCCTTCTCCAGTTTTTTTTTTTTTTTTTTGAGACATGGTCTCACTATGTAACCCAGGCCGGCCTCGAACTTGCATTGATCCTCCTGTCTCAGTGTCCTAAGTGCTGGGATTGCATGCAGTGCGCCACCACCCCTGGCTTCTTCCCTCAACTTTAATGAAAAAGTTTCAAGCCCAGAATGATGATGTGAATCACCTGCCTACTACCAAGATCCCACAGTTGACATTTTGCTCTAGTCATTGTATTCCTCCTGTTCACTTTTATTCCTGTTACTGCTGTGGGGTTTTGTTGTTTTTGCAGTGCTAGGGATCAAACCCAGGCGTGCTAGGCAAATGCTGTACCTGGGTTACATCCCCAGCCTCCTCTTATTGTTTTATGCTCAGTCACTTGAAGCTAGTTACAAATGAAGTTATCACGTCTCAATACCTTAGTATTCTCCTAAGAAAGACACTTTCTTTCTTAGCACAGTGCCATTATCACATCCAAGAAAATTAATTCTGGGAGTTTATTCTGTGATTTCTTATGCTCAATTTGTTATATTTCTCCAGTTCCAAAACTGTTACAGCTATTTTTCTCCCCAGAATATATGTAGTTTTATGTATTTATATTTATCTTTTGCTTTCTACTTTTTTTCTGTTCTGTTTAAATTGGGGTAAAGATACTAGACGTGTGACTCAGCGGTAGAGAATTTGCCCAGCACACTCAAGGCCCTGGGTTCCATGCCCTGGGCCAAGAAGAAGCAGTTAGATCCCAGTGTTCACTTGACCCAAGAGAAATGATTGCTCCTTCGTGTAAGGTGGGGTGGGAGGTTGGGAGGTGGCACATGGATTTCTACCAGCACCTGGCTCAGGTTGGTGGCCATAAAGCAGGTGGACTTCTGCTTGCTGAGCCTACCTGCAGTCTCTGCACAGGATTATGAACCTAAGAACAAGAGCAGTTTGGGCCAGGGATTTAGCTCAGTGCCATAGCGCCTGCCTGGCAAGTGGGAGGTCCTGAGTTCGATCCCTGGTACAAAAAACGATCAAGAGTGGTTCATGGAAGGCAGGTGGGAAGAACATCTGCCACTGAACCCCTTGCAGAGGAAGGAAGCTAGCCTGCACACTGCTGGGCTTTAGGAGGTACCTCCATGGCTACATGAATGAAAATGGGTTCTCTTCCTTATTTTGTGTATAATTTTTTTTTAAGTATCCAGGCCAAACTGCACGTTGCTGACTGCCTATATTCCAGCACTTGGGCGGCTGAGGCAGAAGGATCACCACGAGTTGCAGGCCAACCTGGAATACACAGTGAGACCCTGTCTCAAAAAAACAAAAAAAGGGGGCTGGGGATTTAGCTCAGTGGTTCTGCCACCTGCCCTGAAAGCACAAGGACCTGAGTTCGATCCCCCTACCAAAAAAAACACCAAAAAACAAACCAAAAAAAGGGTCCAGCCCAGTTGTTTTGTAGAAGGTCCCACCCTCTGTCTGATTCCTTGCTTCTAGGATGGCCTAATTGTTTTCAGAGTGTCCTTAATCACTACAAAAGCTATGAGGTAACCACAGCAATAGTGAGGGAAAAAATGAACCCATCTCCTACTCCGTCCTTGACTTCCATCTCCTCTCCTGAGACCATCTAACTGTGCCAGACCAGGGCCAAGCAGCCTGTTCCTACACCGGGCCAGTGTGGGCGTGGACCCGTGCTTTAGTGACCTTGGGCAAGCCCCTTAGCCTTCCAGTCCTACTTGCTTGTCCCTACAAAGGGAATGATAGTGTGTGCTCCTGGGCATGATGACCCATGGGGATTGCATGTGGTGATTAGGGGCACAGGCCTAACCCTAAGAATGTGCCCAAGAGTGGCAGCGAAGGTCGTCCTTGGAGAAGGGTCATGCAGTGTGTTTCCAGGACAGGGTGAACTTAAGACCGCTTTACAGAGAAAGCAGAGCTGAGGCAGCCCGTGTGCTGAGGTGCTATTCAGGGAGCCTGGGGCATGGCAGGGCCCAGGCACATCCGTGGGCAGGTGTCCAGGAGACTGAGGAACCCTGGGGCCTCAGAGGAAGGGCCAAGGCCAGGTCAGAGTTAAGAGCTTCATCATGGGAATCGATGACAGCCTTGCGGTGAGGAAGAACAATTCAGTTAGAGATTAAAAGTAAAGATGTTAAAGCCAGATGCCTACTCTTTTGTCCCAGCTCTGTTGCCTCCTGGTCATGTAAGTTGCTCATTGACTTGACCTCTGCCTCAATGTGAAAGGGCTGTTGGGAGCACCCTGTGTAAAAAAAGAAAAGGAGCCAGGTGTTCAGCAGGGTAGATGCTACACAAGGATTGGCTGGTAATTACTGAGGGTCCCCAGGCAGAGACTGCAGGGACAGAAGAGGGAGGCCTTGAGGATCCTTCCAGAGAAGGTGGGTCATGCACACAGTCAAACAGGGCAGTCACTGGGCCGGCATCTGCATCCTCTGACCTTTTCTCTCCCAACCCCAGATGACTTCCGCATCTTCTGTGGAGATCTGGGCAATGAGGTGAATGACGACATCTTGGCACGTGCCTTCAGCCGCTTCCCATCCTTCCTTAAGGCTAAGGTGATCCGAGACAAACGCACAGGCAAGACCAAGGGCTATGGCTTTGTCAGTTTCAAGGACCCCAGTGACTATGTGCGTGCCATGCGTGAGATGAATGGTGAGTGAGGTCTCCCCTAGGGACAGGGCATGGGGGGCATCTGGCCTACGCCTGACCTTGAACCCTCCGTTCGCACAGGGAAATATGTGGGCTCACGCCCCATCAAGCTCCGTAAGAGCATGTGGAAGGACCGGAACCTGGACGTGGTTCGAAAGAAGCAGAAGGAAAAGAAGAAGTTGGGCCTGAGATAGGGTCTGTGGCTGGGCACCCGCTCTCACCCGGCCGGGCGCTGGCTTCTCCCCACAGCTGTCTTTGGAAAACACCAACTGTTCACCCACCCAACCCCAAACCAGTTTCAATAAATTTACATTCATTTCCATCCCTGGCTGGCTTTGGAGGTACTCGGTGGGGATGGCGCTTGGCATCCTTCACCTGAGAATGCGGGAGCCTTGAAAGTTTACCCAGGCAGGCATCCTGGTGGGCGTTTCTGAGCCCCTGCAGTGTGCTACTACTTAAAACCTCTTACGTGCTTGGTGACTGCACCCAGTTCTAGAGGAGGAAGAGGAGTTTTGGTGAAGAAAAAGTCAAGGTTTGTGTCCTGGCCCCAGCCTGTGTGCTCAGCACTGAGTGAGGTAGGGGTTCTTCTGGGCCCTGCCCTTCAAGAGCTCAGGCTGGTGGGCTTTCACCAGCTCAGCACGCTCACCCATGTCTGGGCAGTGCCGAGGACAACAGTGACGACTCCTGGGGTCCTGTTCCCTCAGGGACCATGGTCCCCTGACAGAATAGGCTCCATGGCCGATAGGCCACAGCACCGACCTGTGTTGTCAGCGAGGGCCTCTTGATAGAAGCATCCACTGTGAGACTGGCATCCTTCCCCTCTGATCTCTCAGGCTGTTCGAAGTTTCTCCACTCAGTTGATAGTGCTTGTGAGTCTCAGTGTCTGAGTGCCTGTTTCTTGGCCAAGTGTCTGTAGGCCTTTTCCTAGCTCCAGATGAGCCTCTGCCTGTCGAATAGGCATCCATGCAGGACATGGAATGGCCAGCTAAGAGCCTAAGCTTTACCCTGAATGTAGCAAGGTGCCCAAAGAAAAGAAGCTGAGATGAAGGTCAGGCAGCAAGCAGGGGCCTGGTGTCACAGATTTGCACTTTAGAAAGAGCTCTGTGACCACCACCGAGTGCTGGAAGTCTGGAAGGAGGTTGGGGCAGGTCCTGCCAAGAAGGGCAGTTGCAGGGTGGGAGTGTGGGGAGGGCATGAGGGTCTCCCAGAGGTAAAGCCATCAGAACACTGGATTAGGGGGGCAGGTGGGGTGGGGGATGATTGGAGGCCTCAGCAGAGAAAGATCACCCAGGAGAGGTGTCAGATTTCTTGTTCCTGTCTCCCCCCTTACTGCCCTCTGACGTCACATTTTCCAGTCTGGTCAGAGGGCTGAGGGCCTCCCTGGCAGGAAGTGCCCTTCAGCCCCCTGGCCTGGACCACCCCACATAGGACCTTCAAGCGCCCCCTTCCCCCATCACCAGCCCTTCCTAGCCCTGGCCTCCTCCTCACTACAGCCACAGGGCCATTCGAGCAGAGAGGATTCTAGAAAGGAGGGTTAAAGTGTGTACAGGAGTCCTGACAGTGGGAGAAACGTGCTCAGAGATGGACAGGAGCTGACAGGCGCAGGGAAACTCAAGGACTCTCAGTGCAGTGGGAAGGGAGTAAGGAGAAACCCAAGAGACAGATGGAAGAGACAGGAACACTCAGAAAGGAGAGTGACAAGGTTTTGCTGGCATCAGGCCTGCTACAATAGGGATCAGAGCTGCAGGCACCAGCCAGAGTCGAGGCAGACATGGACAGACACACAAACAGCGGAAAGGCCAGCTTCAGGGGGAGGACGCCTGGTGGGACAGAGCAGGCCAGGACTCCGTTTCAGGCCTGTAGGGTGGGAGGATGAAGGACCAGTAAGGACCAGTGATGCCCAGCGCTCCATGTGCTCAACACTGTGTGCAAGCCCAGCCACACAGGACTCCTTCCTGACGTCGTTTCCCTTCTGTAAAATTGTCAAGAGAGCAGCACTCCCCTCCACTCTCCAGAATGGCAAATAGTTCACGAGCAGGGAGCTGGGTAAATGTGGAAACTGTCCGTATTAAGACATTATTTTCATGGTAAATATGTCATTTCTATAGGGAGATGGGAACAAGCACGGTATCTGAAGCCAAGTTACTTGGACTAAGAGCTGCCAGACTCAGCACATAAAAGTAGGGGACAACTAGTTACTAAATTTCAGATAGTTTTTAGTATTTAGTACATGTCTGGAAGAGTATGTGTATGAGCCTTTACATGTATGTGTTTTGCTTTTTGGTGAATCATTTGAAGCAGGTCACAAAATTATAACACCATCCCTAAATATCCGTGTTCATTTCCTACTAATGACTTCATAGAATACCATTATCACATATCACATCTAAGAAAATAACTCCATGTGACATCTCTCATTTTTCTTTCTCTTTTCTTTTTTCTTTTTGTTTTTTTTCTTTCTTTCTTTGTTTTTTGTTTTTTTTTTTTTTTTTTGAGATAGGCTCTCGAAGTGTAATTCAGGCTGGCCTTGAACTCACTATGTAGCCCAGGCTGGCCTCGAATTCACGCTAACCTCCAGCCTCCAGTCTACCAAGTGCTGGGATTATAGGCATGTGCCACCATGCCTGGCCCACGTGATATCTCATATTCAATTCATACTCAAAATTTCCCAGTTGTCCCAAACTATTATAGCTCAGAAATACATGGGGCTTTGGAAAGTGAAATGGAAAGATGTCTGCCTCAAATTCCCTTTCATAAAATAGGGAAAGAGTGGTTTCTACCTCATAAAAGGATTAAATGAAGACCTAGTGCATATGGCTCATTGACAGACAACTCCTCTTGTGATGTTAGCTGTTATTTTACTATTGCTACGGTCCGTGTTGCCGGTGTTAATATTTTATTATGATTGACACTACTCCCGGCAGCTCAAGAACACCCTCTGCAACTTGTCCTAGGGGATGGAGGGTAATGCAGAGTCCACTTCGATCTCCCGCGGTCACCCTGTTGATTGTGACGTAGGCTGAAGCTGGGGACGGGGGGGGGGGGGGGGGGAATCTGGCCGGAAATCCCGCTTCCTGTTGTAGATAAGCCTGGCGCAGCCCAGCTGACCCCAGACCCTCCTCCCTCCATCTCCCATGTCGCAGGATCAAATCCCTAAGGCGGAGAAGCTGTCCACCCTGCCCAACCCCCATCACCTCGTAAACGCGCCCGGCCCCTGTCCCCCGCCTTGCCCAGCCCGCTGTTCCCCAAGCCATTCCTGCACCAGGGCAGCTCCACAGGCCGCATCCCTGAGGCGCGGGGCGCGGCTCGGCTCCGCCCCCGGACCTGCAACTTGACCCAGGCTGCGACCCCCTGCTCTGACGTCTCGGAAAATTCCCCCCTGCCCAGGTCCCCCGGGGGGCGGGTGTGCGCGGGGTATGAAATGGGGTGAGACCCCCGGCCAGGGGCAGAGGAACCCGCCAGAGGTGAGCCATGAAGTGGGGACAGGGTAGATGCCTGGGCGCCTGGGTTAGGAAGGAGCTGGGGGCCTGAAAGAGGAAGAGGAACGAAGTCCCTTATTCCTGGTCTGAGAGAAAAAGGGGCTGGAGGTCAAGATGCCAGCTTCCTGAGGAGAGGGAGCGGATGCTTGGACACCTGAGTCTGAGGGAGGCAAGGGCTGGTCCCTAAGGGTCACCAGCTCATCGCCGGCCCTTTGGGTTTTTCCCTACCAGGTCATTCCAAACGAGCACCCATGGACGCATGGAGCCGCGATGAGACCCCACCGCAGGAAGTGCCTCCGGGGAACAAGCTGTCAGGCCTGGGTAGGGGCTGGGGCTGAGAATCTGTAGGGAGGATGCCCGGGTGGGGGCCGCTGCTGATCCCTGACCTGGCCTTAAAATCCTTCCTGCCTGCAGAAGAGACCGAATTTGGCTTCTATTTCCCTGAACTGGTGCTCCAAGGGGAGGCAGCGACAGGCGAACAGTGCTGGAAAGGTGGGACCCCTGCGTGCTGGGGGGAGGATGGAGGCTGGGCCCCTAAGTCTGAGCGAGGAGCGGGGTATGCCCAGACTCCCCGGGTGAGTAGGGGGACGCCTGAAGTTGGAGGAGGGCCCCAGGGTCCTCAGTGAATAACTCCCTACCCCTGACAAAAACCAGACTGGGTGGGCGATTGAGGTCTGCGAGTCCTGGCTCCCACCCTTTCTAAACTCAGTTGCAATCCTATCCTTCGCAGGGTTCCCGGAGCTAGACTGGAGCCCCGCGTTACCACGTCCAGAACATGCATGGGGAGCAGGTGAGTGTGCGTACAGAGGCGGTGGCAGGAGAGGCCTGGGTCCTGTCTCCCATTGCTCAAGCAGAAGGACGGGGCTAGCAGAGGTGGCATAGGTGACCCCCTAATCTGGGGGTCCTGGCCCCGAGATCCCGGGACTGAAAGTGTAGACCCCTAGAACTCCGGTAGGGCCCGGGGATCGGGACATCTGAGCTTCCCTCACTTGGGTTCGATTCTTCCTCCCAGAGCTCACCCCTCAGGCCCCTGCGTGGTCCGGAGACTGGACACACCTGGCGCGCACCGCCTCGGACCCTTGCAGCCTCGCCTCCCAGCGCCTGGAGCCCGCCCTCCGCGGCCCGGGCCACGCCCCCTTCGCTGGCTCCGAAGTGGCGGCCGGCCAGAACTGTGCCCCCTCGTGGTCGCCTACCCAGGCCGCCAGAAGCACCGCGAGCTGGGACTATGCAGTCGTCCCCAAAGGCGCCACCTACTGGGACAGTGGCCTCTACGGGGAGTCCCGCGCGGACTATACCATTTCGTGGGGCGAGCCTGCGGCTTCGGACTGTACCACCATGTGGAATCTGGGGCTGCATACAGATTGCAGCCTCTCTTCGAACAGGTTCCAGAGTTCAGCTCTAACCACCTCCTCCGAACAGAACCAGCCGTCGGACCGTGCCACCTCGACTCGTTACCCCAAAACGAACCACAGAGGTGAGCGAGCCTGGAGGACTCTCGAGGGAGCGAAGCCCCCTTGATGAGGCGGGGCCCCCGCGATGAGGCGGGGCCTCCGCGTCTAAAGGGGCGGGCCCCGGAAAAGCGACTCGAGGGCCGGGGCTTAGGTGTCTGACCGGAGGAGCGGGGAGGGGAGCGAGGCCAAAGACCCTGGTGGACCCAGGCTCCTGGATTATGTGAGAGGAAAGAGGTGAGGTTTCCTCCGAAGTGAGGAGGCCAAACTCCTAAAATCTGCGACTTAGGTGACCTGGGTCCCTGAAGCTGACTTTTAAATATTTTTGTAGTATTGGGATTTGAACTCAGGGCCTTCGCACTGAGCTACATTTGCAGCACATTTTTTTTTTATTTTTTATTTTCTTTGATACCGGGGATCGAAGTCGGGTCCTTGCGCTTGCACAGCAGGCGGCGAAACCACTGAGCTAAATCCCTGGCCCAGCCCATTTTTATTTTTAACTTTTGAGACAGGGTCTCGCAAGTCACTAAATTACCCAAACTCGACTCAAACTTGCCATCCTCCTGCCTCAAGTCACCCAGAATACAGGAATTATAGGCGCTACTAAGCCCGGCTAAGGCTGACTTTTAGGACCCCAAACTCGTGGATTCCCCAAGTGGTCTGAAGAGTTCTGGATTCCTGGATCCAAAGTTGGCAGGACCTGGAGGCTTGAGCCTTAGAGATGAGGGAGCCCCGACTCCTACGTCGTCGGAGCGGCCACGCCTGGGCCTGGGCAACCTGGGTATTCACCTGCTTCCACCTGGCAGGTCCCATTCAGCTGTGGCAGTTTCTCCTGGAGCTACTCCGCGACGGGGCGCGTAGCAGCTGCATCCGCTGGACAGGCAACAGCCGCGAGTTCCAGCTATGTGACCCCAAAGAGGTGGGACAGCTCCCTTGTCCCTCCAGTCCCGCCATAGACGAGACGCCCCGGGGCGACCTAGCCCCGCCCTTTGTGTGGCCTAGCCTTGGCCCCTCCCCCAGCCTCGCCCTCTCTAGGGTCCACCGGAGCCGAGTCCCCGCCCCAGAGTCAAACATCCCCATCTCATCCGGGCTGGGCGGTGCGAGACACCAGTCCTAAGGACCGCTGGATCCGGCCCCGCCCATCGCGGCACAGCCCCTCCCCTCTCGTCCTCTCTGACCCAGCCGGGCCTCGGTCCTAGGTGGCGCGGCTGTGGGGCGAACGCAAGAGGAAGCCGGGCATGAATTACGAGAAGCTGAGCCGAGGCCTGCGTTACTACTACCGCCGCGACATCGTGCAGAAGAGCGGTGGGCGAAAGTATACCTACCGCTTCGGGGGCCGCGTGCCTGGTTTGGCCTTTTCGGACTGTTCGGGGGTCCTGCAGGGAGCAGAGACCCAATAAAATATCCTGCCAAACTTTGTCACGCTTCCTTGTCTGCGTCTTTCCCACCGACACTGGCTAGCCCCGTTGGGGAGCCTAAGTGTGCACCCACATTTCAGCTTGGCCTCTCCACCGCAGAGACCCGGGCATCCAGACCTGTATCTCCTCTCAAAGAACCCAGGAGCCTGGATCTTCGTCCCCATGGTCCTCAGACCACCAGCGTTTTGGTTCTCCCCTCCCAGAGGACGCAGGAGTCTGGGGCAATAGGCCCTATGCCCGCCCAGCACTGTCAGTTTCCAGGGACCTGGCCCCGCCCCACCGCCCCCCTTCCTCCCTCCGAAGTCTTCCCACACCTCTCAACTCGGTGATTACTGGGATGGGGAAGTTGGTGCCTACTCCCTACTGTGGCTATTCAGGACCCAGCCCTTAGGGATCCTCCTATATGCCCACCCAGTGTCTACCCCTTCCACTAAAGTGATGCAGGCATTTAATCCCCAAAGTCTTCCACTAAAGTATTAAATGATGGAAACTTTATGGTGTTTAGAGGTGGCCCATTTGGAATAGGTCGTTAGGATGGAGACTCCATGACTGAATTTTGTGGATTACAAGGAGAGACACAGCTGGATAGGATGCACTCTGTCCCTTGCCATGTGATCCCCTGGGCTGCCACTTCAAGATTGCCAGCAGGAAGGCCATATTCAATGAGGTGACACAGTCAATGGGAGGCCCTGGCCAGAGCATGAGCTGTGTTGTTTGGATCTTGTACCTCCAGAACCATGAGCCAAAATAAACCTCTTTACATTATAAAGCAGACTGGCTCTGATATTTCATTATAGTAACAAAAAAGCCTAATGGAAGACCCAATCTGAAATGAAAGTTTATCTGCTGTGTGCCCTTGAATAGAAGGCTCAGACTTCAAAAAGGACCGAGTTCCCTCCCAGACAGAGCTAGGTCATCAAATCACCCAGAACCTAGTGCTGGCCCCTTACCTCTGCAGGTACCATTTTCCTACTCCAAGCTGGAGGACAGAGAACTCCGACTTAGACCTTAAAGAAAGCCTACCCCATTCTGGAATCACTGAGCCCCTTAGAGAGTCTGCTGTATCGTCCTCCTGTGGGTGACGCTAGGATCCATCTGTGACACGCCAGGCCTGGACCTGCCCTGGGGAACTCATAGAGCACAGGGAGGTAGACTTGAGACACAATTCAGGTCAGGGACAGCCCAGGGTGGTCAGGGCTGGGATGAGGAAACTCCGGGGGAAAAAGGGAGCCCACAGGAGGGACTTGACCTAGCCCGGGAGGGGGAGAATTGGGAGGCTTCCAAGACAAGAACTGGTTCTGTGAGAAATAATGAAGCTGTCGACTGCCAGGGTGCAGACGCTGCCACTGCTGCTGGTGCCTGCTGTTCCGAGGTGGGAAAGGGTCCACCAGGCATCACTAGGGCTGCTTGTAGGCTTCATTTATGTGGTCCTGAGCCTGGGCCCTCCTCGGCCACATGAGATCAGAGCTCAGGAGGCAGCAGGTGCTCTGCTGGTGACTCTCACTGAGGGAACAAGGAGCCCGGGAGCAAGGTACACTGAGGAGGGGTACTGGACACACCGGGCAGGTGACTGAGCAGAAGCAAAGAGGAGGTGCTGAGGTGCTAGTACAGGGTACTCCACAGAGCAGAAGGACAATGCTGAGGAGCTTCAGATGTGTGGCTTTCACCCCAAATCACGCTGGGAGCTGGCACAAGGGCTTACAGTTTAAAAACCAAACCCAGGTTGGCAATTTTGCCACCTGCCTCACAAGTGCAAGGTTCCAAGTTCGATCCCCAGTACCAAAAAACCCCCCACAAAAACAAACCCAGCTAAGCCCCTCTGGATGTCCTGACATGACCCCATGTGACCTGGCAGCCCATGCCAGGCTTTCAGAGAGGGTCATTTACTTGGGCCTCCCAACATCCCATTGAGATATACAGATTAATAATTATCATTACCTCATTGTGCAGAAGAAAAATCTGAGCTTCAGAGAGGTCATACAGCTCACCCAGATCACACCTCAGTGGTAGAGTGCAGCTCTAGGCCAGGTAATCTGACTCAGTCCAGGCTTTCTAAGGAGAACATGAATGGCCTGCCCATCATGCAAGGGTTTCCCAAAGCTCTTCTGATAGTGGCTCCTGTCTGCCTGGCAATTTAAATTAGCTAAAGACTACACTTCCCAACTTCCCTTGCAGCTGTGGTTATCTGTGTGATGACATTTGGGTCATCCTGAGAGATAAGTGCAAGTTGTATGTACTATCCTCCAGGCTAGACTCTTAAAAAGAAGCCATGTGCTCTCCTCCGATCTGAGGGAGCCATTGTGGTGGATGTGGGCTCTGAAACACTTGCCTATAATTTTACGTGAGACAGAAATAAGATTACTTTGAACTACAGCGGACCCCAAAATTCCCGGAGGTTGTTACTAGAGCACCACTGAATTGTGAAAAACCACCAATTTCAGATATGGTCAGGAAAATGTTTATTTTTATAGTTTAAACCCTAAATATGTTATGTCTCCCTCGGTTATGTAATTTGTGTGTGTGTGTGTGTGTGTGTGTGTGTGTGTGTGTGAGACAGGGATCCACTATGTAGTTCAGCCTCGCCTTGAATTCACTATGTAGCACTGGCTGGCCTCGAATTCACTGCGATCCTCCTGCCTCAGCCTCCAAGTGGTGCGATTACAGGTATGAGTCACCATGCCCAGCTTGTAATTTAATGTAATAAAACACTGTATTAATAAAGCCTTAGAAGGTGCAGGGTGTTTTGGCGGCATCTTAGGGATCTTAGGGCTTTAAGAACAAAATTGAGAACACTTGAGATAGGTACACGCGGTACAGCAACCTGTTATGATACAGGAAGCTGGTGCATCTGTCTAAAATGGGTTACAGAGGCAGCAGCCAATCAGCAGCAAGGAGAACTGAATAATGCTCTCTAATTGGCCACTTGCAACACCTCTGGCCAAAAAAAAAAAAAAATTCGGAGGATATTTGTGGTTTCTGTGAAATTGCCGAGGTTTCCATGAACAATTATTAGTTGGGTTCTAAGGAAAAATGCACAAACAATTGAGGCCTATTCTGGACTTCTTTGTTACAGCAGCTTAACATTTACTCTAACAAATGTGAGTATATGTATCTGATAGGAAGAAAGGGATTGTGGGACAATTGAGAATGCAGGACAGGAATCGAACCAGGACAATGTTTCTAGCAGGCTCCAGTCAGGGAGCCGAATTCCAGCTCTGTTCTTTCTGCCTTTTGCATGTGCTTCATCTCTTGGAGTTTAGGTTTCCTCGTCTGTAAATGAAGATGATGGTACCTGCCCCAGGGTAGCACATAAGAGACCCTCGACAGGCTTCTGCGCACCCCCTCCGCCTGGCCCCAGTGGGACGGCCTGTGACACCGGGCACCAGGAGGACCCTGACCTCCCTGTGGCTCAGTAGCCCACCCGGAAAGACACAGGCAGGGCCTGTGGGGAACCATGGACTGTGCTGAGTGGTGAGAGGCCCAGGGCAACGCTGTCACTGCCTAGGAGTCTTTACAACAGGGTGGACCAGTGACCTCCGGGAAGGACAGCGTGGTGGCATCTGGAAAACTCAGGGAGGACTATTGCTCGGAAGAAGTGCTAAGATCATGACCAAACTCTGGGCTCCTTATGGGACCTGCGGGGTCGGAAGTGCCTGGACAAGAATGGAGAACGGGTTCAAGTTCTGAGTGTCGCGGTTCTGGTGGCTCCAGTCTACACTGAGAAACCTGGGGAAACTCTACTGCCAGGCCAGGGCTGACACCGAACTGCACGGCTGCCAAGCACAAGGAGAAGCTTTCTTAACACACCCACAACCGTTAAACACTGGCGTCCAAACCCCACGAGTGCTCGCCAATAGCACTTTACGGCCGCCAGGTGGCGGTGTTGCCCATCAGGGATTTAAACTCCTCAAATGCAAATCCAGTCCTGTTCTTGGCGCTCCAGATTCGGTGTGAGCCGTCTCAGGCAGTGCGGCCCCAGCCACATAGATGTCCTGCTCTTCTGGACCCGCTGGATTCCTGGAAGCAGACAGCCAATTCCCACTTGCTCATCTTCAGCTCATCCTTCACCCCAGGTTTGCAAGCACCCCAGGAATTGTCTTCCCATCCAGACAGCAACTAAGGCGCCAGGCTACCCCATGTTTATTGTAATAGGTATAGGAAAAATAACCCACCCATTGGACCAGTGATTTCATGGATATCATTACCAAATTTAAAAAGCAAGGACATTTAAGATGGATCTAGGAGACAATGAATCAGTGATGACACAGGCGACCCATGACATTGAACCAAAGATGGTGCTGGACAATGCTCTTCACTATGCTACTGCTCTAGCTGAAAAAGAAACATGACACTCTGTAGGCCCAAGGATTATTCAGTGGGAAGTCAAATAGTGACAGCAGTGCCCACACAGATCTTATCTGCATGCCAGGGAAACGACTCTGAAACAGGATCACCTGAAAAAACACAGGATACTCAGTTCAATTCGAACTTCAGATTAATTATTGCACAGGATATATTTATACTAAAAATGATTCATTCTTGGTTTGGAATTTAAACTTAACTGGAAGCACTGTATTTTTATTTGATGAGTCTGACAGCCCCACACTGAAAGGTCCTGATAATTCTCAGCTGCTCCTCCCACTTCCCCATCCTAGCCAAGGCAAATCCCCCTCATAATAGCTTGCAAATGTGTCCCCTGTCAAAGGCCCCACCCTGGTGGCCCTGCCCTGCTGGATGCAGCCCAGACCTCCTCACACACCCAAACCCACCCCTGGGCGTGTCACATCCCAGCCACCGGGACTCCGCCTCTCCCGCCACACACAGCTCCCTTTCATTTAGCTTCCGCTTTGCTCCTGATGACTTCATGGGCTGGAAAAATCTGATTTGGGTCTTTAAATCCCAGGGTCTCCAGTCCGCTGAAATCTCCCCAGCCCCCCAGCTCTCTGCTTCTGCAGTCTCTGCCCCAGGCTGAGGGCATCCGGGCGGCCCTGGCTACACCAAGGCCCCGTCTCAGCTCTGCAGTGAGCGCCTGACGGAGGAGCTGAGTGGTGGTGGGGCCCGGGCCCGTGGGGGACGAGGAGGTCAGAGGAGCAAAAGGGACAAATAGAACAAGGGAGAGAAGCAACTTTGATGCCCCTCCCCACCCGCCCCGGAGGAGGAGGTCCCAGAGAACAGGCCGCCCACCTCGAGGGCTGACCACCCTCGTCTTTCACACTGCTACGGTGCTCGTTGTTCGGATCCGTGAGTCGACCAGGTGAGGATTAGGATTTTGCCACGAATGTTTTCACAAATAAACACAGTAGAAAAGAGAATGGATTCCTCAGTTGCTACTGGGACAGAGCTGGTGAGGCAAGGCTGGTGCGTTTTACACACGGGAAATGGCAGGATGAACCCAAGCCCTCTGGGAGCCCTGGACTCCAGCACACACCGGGTATATTTCCCAAACAAGAGACTTTAGCTCGTAACCCAGAAACTCAGAAAGGGTTGCTTAGACCCTGAAGTACGATCTTAGAGATAGGGGTGTGACTCAGTGGTAGACATTTGCTTAGCATGTGCAAGGCCCTGGGTTCCATCCCCAGCACTGTCAAAGTAAAAATTAAAATATATGGGGCCGTGGATTTAGCTCAGTGGTTTCACTGCCTGCTGCACAAGCGCAAGGACCTGAGTTCGATCCCTGGTACCAAAAAAAAAAAGGCTGTTGCTAAAAAATAAATAAATAAATAAAAATATATGTATATATACATATATAAAAGCTTAAATTTCACTGACTTAGGTCTCTTGGAAATTCAAAACACTTCCAGGTTTTTTTCTTTTCATTGTTTTTAAATTGAGTAATAACATAGATAGCATAAATATACAAATGCACTGGTCTTAAATGCCCACCTCACTGGTTCTTGCATTTCCATGTAGCAGCCCCCTATCAAGATGTAAAACACTGCAGCACCTCCAAGGGGTCCCCCATGCCCCCTCTCTTCAATGCCCAGGTAACCCCCGTTACTCTATTGTCTGTCACCTCATTCTGTCACCTGCCCTTGAACATCACAGCAGGTCCCTCTGTGCCGGTCTCTTCTTGGCATCGTGCCTTGAAAATTCATCTGTCGTTGTGAGTGTCAGTAGTTTATTTCTTTTTACTGCTGAATAGCATTATGTATGTGCATTTTTTTGAGACAGGGTCTCACTTTGTGGCCCAGGCTGGCCTCAAACTCAGTGATCCTCCTGCCTCAGCCTCCCAAGTTCTGGGATTATAGGCGTGTACCACACCTGGTGAATAGCATTATATTGTATGAATATTAACACGATCCTTTGGTCTGTTCTTTGACATTTGGGTCATTTTTTGCCTTGCATTATTATGGATAAAAGCAATTTGTGAGAAGATTTTTGGATGGGCATACTCACTCACTTCTCTCTTTTTTTTTTTGGTACCAGGGATCAAACTTGGGACCTTGCGCTTTCGAGGTAGGCAGTAGAACCACTGAGCTAAATCCCCAGCCCCTCACTCACTTCTCTTGGGAGTTTGCTCAGGTATGAAATTGCTGGGTCATGGAAAAAAAATGTTTTTGGTAGTACTGGGGTTGAACCCAGGGCTTTTGCCCTGAGCTACATCATCAGCTGCCACCTTGGTTTTTGTTATTGTTGTTGTTGTTTTGGGTGGCAGGGATTGAACTCAGGACCTCGCATTTGCCAGACAGGCACTGTGCCACTGTGGTAGATGAATAGTCAACTTGTAACACCCAGCTGAACTGAATCAGAACGGGCTCTGATTTCCCATCAGCCTGCTTTGGGTTTCAGCAGCTGTGCAGCAAGACTTTCCCAACCTGCCTCATCACCCTCTTACCCAGTTTTTTTCCTGGAATATTTTAAAGCAAATCCCAGACCTCTCACCATTTCGGCCATGAATACTTTAGCTTGCATCTCTGGCTGATAAGAATGTTTATTTTTTACAGAACCCCAGCATCACTACCACACTGCAATTTGCTTCTGCCTCAATGATGAACAGATTAGCACAGCGCACCATCGAGCCACAGCCAGGAAGTGGCCTGAAACCTCATGCAGGACCTGAGCAACCCAAGCAGGGTCCCGCCGTCCCTCACTTCCGGATGACACAGAGGGAGATGAAGTTGAAGCAGACAGCCCACGAGCCTGTGGTCATGTCATCCTCAGGTGAGCTCGGCGCCAGCCGAAAGCTGAGTCCTGGCTGAAGGCCCAGCCCTGTGATTCTGGCGCGTTGCCCAAGCTCTCCAAGTGTCTGTCCCCATTTTTAAAACGGGGTAACAAGAATCCCTGCTCTCTTAGGGACAAAGGGAGGATGAGCTAAGACCAGGCGCCTGAATCCCACAGCCCAGAATTTGGCACATAAATGTCAGCTCTTCATGTATCATCTTCTCTTCACAAAAGATATTTTATAAGTGGAGATACTAACATTAGCATAAAACAACTTAATATATGTAATAATTAAAAGTAATTGGGCCGGGGATTTAGCTCAGTGGTTTCGCTGCCTGCTGTGCAAGTGGAAAGACCTGGGTTTGATCCCCAGTACCAAAAGGAAAAATTGAAGCCAGGCATGGTGGCACACTCTTGTAATCCTAGCTACTTAGGAGGCTGAGGCAGGAAGATCACAAGTTTAAGGCCAGCCCAAGGGACTTAGTGAGACTTTGCCTGAAAATAAAAATAAATAAATAAATAAATAAATAAATAAATAAAATGAAAAGGCTGGGGATGAATCTTAGACTGAAGTCTCTGGGTACACTCCTGAGTCCCAGGGCAGGGGAGTAGGGGAGAAAGAAAGAAAAAGGAAAAGAAAAAGCTAAACAAGTTGCATGTGCCTAGACTCATTACCTCAGTTCAGACCAAAACATTTTCATGGGTTGTTAATTTGCAGGTCATCAAAAACAAACAAACAAAAAATCATGATAGTAGAAACAGTACAAGTCATTAAATCAACTTTTTCCATCTAGAGAGAAGTTTCAAGATGTTTTAGGAATGTAGCCATTTTCCAAACCCAGTCAACAAATGGCTGTAATTTCTAGTTTTAGAGTTCAACAGATATTTCAGAATTTGACCTCCTTTGATTTTTGTTAATGCTGATTTTTGAAAATCATGTCCCCTAAATAATTCATACATCAAATTGTTGTAAATTATGTTATGGGTATCAAGGACATTCTAGAAAAGAACGGAAGGAATAGTCATCTTCCTAAATAGCTTTCAAGTACTGACATCAATTTTAAACAAAAGATCTAAGCAACTAAAGCAAATGAGAAATACAGTCACTGCGATTTTCCCCAGCTTCATACTTTTCTCTGCTTTCTAGCATCTCTTTGAAAGCTGAGTTAATTAACCAAACCAATATTTAAATGTGGGTACTGTAGGAAAATATAAAGTGCAATTGGAATTATATGCCATTCACATATCTGGGTCACATTATCAGATATTTGTCAACGCAACCTTCAAAGAGATGATAAAAACCAGTCTAAACATTTTATCAGGAGATGTCATCGTCAGGTGGCACTGTGCAGGAGTTGCTGACAGATAGTGGAAAACGAGGATGGACAGTATTTTCTTCTGAAAGAACTAGTTTTATTTGCTTTATTACCTAAAGTATAAAAGGGTCTTAAAATATTCTCCTTGCAATTCCCCTCCCATCCTTTTTTTTTTTTTTTTTTTTGGTACTGGGATGAACTCAGGACCTCACTTGCCAGGTAGGCACTGTGCCACTGAGCTAAATCCCCGGCCCTCCACTCCCATCTTTGTAGGCAAGACTTTTACTTTTTTTTTTAAATCTCTATAAGTGATGAAACTTAATATGTTTACGATTCTACAATAAACATCTGAAAATTAGAAAGGGAAAAGTTTAAAGGTCTCTGGCACTGTTGAGCAACAGCTACTATTCAGGCACTAGGTGGAGGCAATGGTGCCGGATGAGAGGGCTGGGTGGGTGTAACAACCCGGTAGAGCTGTCACACCTCAGGGAGACGCTTGCTGACACGGGCAGGCGAAGCAAGGAGCTCAGGACTCACTGGGGCAGAAGGTGGGAGGCAGCTACGCCCGACTCTTCTATTCATACAGCTGCATCTTCTGTGTCAGTAAGAGAGGTATCAGGCGGGCTCAGAAAAACACCAGAGCAGGACTTTCACCCATTTCCCGGGTATTAATACATGTAAGTCTTTTGTTAATGTCTTTTACCACCAAACAATGTGCTGTCTTCACTTCACTTAAGTAGCTCAGGCCAGGTGCTGAGGACACAGCGGTGAACATGGCAGAGCCACCTCTGCCCTCTGGGACCCTGAAGCAGGGAAGTGAGATACATGGAGACACCTAAGACCAGGTGCACCAAGGGTGTCCCGCCGAGAGGCAGGTGTACTTAGGGTCACACACTCCAGGTCACTGCAGAGCTGAGAATCAAACACAAACAGGGTCGAAGAGTAGGTCCCAGCCTAGAGAACTGAGGACTAATTTCACTCAGAATAAACTATCAACAAAGGAAAAAATGAAAATAAATGATCACATTCACACTGACAACCACATTATTTAAAAGGTGGCTACATCTTCAGGTAGATGAAAAAGAAAATTTAAAAATATGCATCAAAGTGTTAATGGTGGTTATTTCTAAGAAGTGAGATTACAGGGCTGGAGATTTAGCTCAGTGGTTCCACCGCCTGCCTTGCAAGTGCAAGGTCCTGAGTTTGATCCCCAGTACAAAAAAAAAGTGAAATTACAAAGGACTGAAGTTTTCTACATTGTGTGTGTGTGCGCATGTGTGTGTGTCTCAGTGGGTACTGAACCCAGGGCTTTCCCATTCAGCTATATCCTCAGCCCTTTTAATTTTGAGACAGGGTCTCGGTAAGTTGCTAAGTTGCCTAGAGTGGACTCAAACTTGTGACCACAGTTGAGAAAAATGGAAGTTAACAGTTGGATGTCTCCCATACATGGTGGCGCACACCTGTAATCCCAGCACTCTGGAGGCTGGGGTGGGAGGATCACTGTGAACTCAAGGCCAGCCTGGGCTCCATAGTGAGTTCAAAGCCAGCCTGAACTACATAGTGAGACCCTGTCTTAAAAAAACAAAACCGAAAAACCAAAAAACCACAGGTCAGCCAAGCATGGTGGTGCACGTCTGTAATCCCAGTACTCAGAAGGCTGAGGCAGGAGGATTGCTCTGAGTCTGAGGCCAGCCTGAGCTGCATAGTGAGTTCAAGGTCAGCCTAAACTACATAGCAAGATTCTGTCTCAAAAAACAAAACAAAAACACACAAACAAGAAACACATGCCAGACTTGCAAAAATATGAAGGTTGAACAGAAGCAGAGGAAACAGCAACCACACAGGCCCTGAGGTGGCATCGCGGTCTGCAGGTTCATGGGCAGAGAGGGGATCAGGAGGCTGGACCACAGGGGTTCAGAGAACAGCGTACACGGAAAGGCAGGCGGGACTGGAGCAACAGGGCCTTGTGGGTAGTCTGTCTCTGGAGAGTGGTAAGGGAAACACTGAGGTAACTCGGTGAAGGGAACGGACTGGAGAGGGGCAGGTGGGGAAAGGAGGCTGTAGAGAAGCTGGCGAGACCTGGGTGGAGCAGCGGAAGGCAGATAACAGACAGAAAACCCGCAGCACTGGAGGTGGAGCTGAGCGGACTGGCGGGGTGGGCGGGGTCGGGCGAGACTCAGGGCTCCTCCCTTCCGGTCGGAGGAAGCGAGCGCAGGTGTGGGAGGGACACCGGGATGGGGAGGCAGTTTTGCCCTGGGTGATTATCTCGAGACGCCCTTAGGCTCCCAGACGACTACGCTGCAGAGCTGGATTCCCTGGAAACCCAAGGCCATCTACCCTACTGTCTTTTTGCTGCACCCTGTGGGGCATTTTCCACGTTCGTCAGACTTCTCGACAAACTCATTCCTTTCCGGCTTTCACAAGTGGAGCTGCCCGACCCTCTTCCTCAAGGGAAAAAGCACACTTTCCCTGGGTGTACCTAGAAGGTGAATGTACCACATTCCTAGATCATCACTAAATGCCGAAAAACAGATGAGCTTAAAGGAAAAAGTTGTGATTTTACAACACAACCCAAACTGAGAGTGGAAAGACAGGTCTGAAAAAGGAAGGGGTACATACACCATTATGTGTTCACAATAAACAACATTGAAAGGAAGTATTTATTGAGAGAAAGATAGCTCTGTCTAAAAGAAACAGAAGGAGTCCTGGAGAGAGGGTTGTCAGCAGATCTCACTTCTCAAGGGAGTTTATAGAGCAAAACCACGAGGTGAAGCAGGGTATAAGGTGGGACAAAACTGTGGTCAACTAATGAGATTACAAGTATAGTCACTTAAGTAGTATTGACCCACTGGAAGCGCACAAGGTGTGTACAAGGTGGGACATAACTATGGTCAACCAATAAGATTACAAGTGTAGTTGCTTAGGTAATATTGATTAAATGGGGATCAAATGGGGAAGCAAGTTACATAGCAAGTGTACATGAACAAACAAGGATTTTCCAGGTAGGAATGGGCTGAGGAGGTTCTGGTCCCCCACCCAAGGTGATTGGTGCCTATTTAGAATATCAATCAGTGCTGTTCATCTCTAGGGGGAAATATGTGGCTGTAGTCTCTTTTCCTCATCTGAAAGCCTGACCTTCAAGGAATGCACCTCCAGCCACAGTTGGAATATGTTCTTATCTTCTGCATTGACTCTCTGGAGGGCCCAGCCCTATCTGACTGCCTATAATATTTTAACTAACTTCAATGTCTATAATATTCTCCCCTCTGAAGAGCTATCCCTAAATGTGGTGAAGGGAAAGGGGGCACAGTTTTTATCTAGCCACTTTGAGCTGAGTACGGTCATTGTAGGGGAGACAGTAGTCAGGGGCCTTCTCTACACAGCTAATCTAATGGGTCTTGGCTAGAAGTCAGGCTGCAGTTTAGCAGTTATGAACTCCCTTCACAAGGTCGATCTAGTGGATCCTGATAAAAGGAGTCTGGCACATTTGTCCTTGGTTCCATCTGCGTGATCACTTGGAGTTTGTCCGCCTCTAGGCAAGAATAAACAAATTTTCCAAGAAAATTTTTTGTAACCAGTTGGCTCTTAGAGCCCTCTACTGATGGAGATTATCTATAAGCCTGATATTTCTTGTCATAAGTCTCTCTAGTTTCAGCTGTAAGAAGATGGAGCGTTTGGTGGGTT